TGTGAATGAACGTTATATCCAGTTGGTTGATATTTTAGTTTGAGTCTTCTCTAGCCTTACGGATTTTCTGCATACTTTCTCTATAACTTGCTGAAAGGGGTATTGAATTTCCAACTATAATTGTGGATTGTCTGTTCCTTTAGATCTGTCACTTTGTGTTTTGTGTATTTTGAAGTTCTGTCATTACGTGCATACATATTTAAAATTGTTATGTCTTGATGAATTGGCTGCTTTATCATTATAAAATGATCCTTTGTGATATTTCTTATTCTGAAATTTTCTTTGTTATTATTATGGCTGCCTTCAGCTATTCTACTAGTATTAGTTACATGACAAATCTTTTTATCCTTTTACTTTTACCCTACCTTTTAACTTAAAATGTATTTCTTATAATTAGTGTTTTATTCATCCTTGCACTTTCTCTAAGCAGACAACCATTTACTTCAGTGGAGTCTTTGGACCATTTATAGTCAGTTTTAATTAGCTATTTGGTTGGTTTTAAATCTATGATCCTGCTCTATTTTCTGTTTCGCACATCTGTTAATTTCATTCCCTTTCCTCATTTCTTTTGGTTTATGTTCTATTCTCTTTCTCTCTCTTTCTCTCTTGTTAGTGGTTTCTGTATGATTTACAGTATGCATCTTTACGTCATCACTCTATGCCTTCACATAATATTATACTGCCTCAATGTGGCAAAGATCATCTTTTTAGTCAATGTTACTGGGACCATTGAAAGCTAGTTGGGAAAAGTTAACCTTAGATTCTTTCCCCCACACCATTGAAAAAAGGCAAACCCAAAAAGAATCCGATATCTAAACAAAAGAGTGAAGAATAAAAGGAAAAAAATTGATGAATTTTCTTTAACCTGGTTATAGGTAAAGGCTTTCTAAATTTAATTTAATTTTTGAATGTTAAACCAAAGGTATAGTCTCAGGATAAACCCTACTTGGTTATCATGCATAATTTTATCTGTAATATGAATTTGATTTCCTGCCTTTTTTTTTTTTTTTTGAGTGAGAGAGCACATATGTGAGCAGGGGAGGTACTAAGAGAGAGGAAATCCCAAGCAGGCTCCAGGTTCTGAGCTGTCAGCACAGAGCCCGACACAGTGCTCGAACCCATGAACCATGAGATCATGACCTGAGCTGAAATCAAGAGTTGGACGCTTAACCAACTGAGCCACCCAGATGCCTCGAAGCTAAAAAAAAAAAAAAAAAAAAAAGTCTTTACGAAAATATCTCCGTAAAGAAAATATCCCCATAGAGAGTCACAAGAATTGACAGACTAGGAGTAACTATTTACAGTGTGAGTGATAGAGGTCTGATATTTCTAATATAAAACAGACTTTTCAAAATAGGAGGAGAATACCCTAAATCCTATGAATTGCCAGTCAGCAAACTATGACATATGGACTGGCATCCTGCTTTGGCAAATAAGGTTTTACTGGGACATGGCCATGCCTACCCATTCCCATGTCATCTATGCTGCTTTTGCCCCAGAATGGCAGAGTAGGGTATTTGCAACCAAGACTGTGCCCACTGCCCGAATGTTTCCTATCTAGCTCTTTAAGAAAAATTTGCCAACTCCTAGTATAGGAAAATGGGCAAAAAATATGAACAGCCAATTCATAAGAAGATCTAAAAATAACTCTTGACGGGGCGCCTGGGTGGCTTAGTCGGTTAAGCGTCCGACTTTCGCTTAGGTCATGATCTCGCGGTTCATGGGTTCGGGCCCCGCGTCGGGCTCTGTGCTGACTGCCAGCTCAGAGCCTGGAGCCTGTTTCAGTCTGTGACCCCCTCTCTCTCTGACCCTCCCCTGCTCACGCTGTCTCTCTCTCTCTCCTAGAAATAAATAAAAAACATTTAAAAAATAATTAAAAAAAATAAAAATAAAAATAACTCTTGAACATCATGTTCAGCCTTTTTTTTATATATATATAATTACAGAAATACTGTTGGTTAGTTAAACCTCTTTGGAATAGAAATTGGTAAAATATATATAGGTACTTACGTTTGGATCCAGCGGGGCCAACGTGGGAATTTACCCTGAACACACATTTCCAAAACTAAGGAAATACATGTACACAAAGTAATTCTTTGTAGCACTACTTACAGTTGTACAATATTGGAAACTATGTAGCTCTCCAAGCCTCACAAATTGGTTGAATATGCCAGAAATAATGAGAAAGCTTTTCATGACTTGGAATGAGGTGTCTTTCCAGGAGACAGTTGTGTGGAAAAGCCGGAAGTAGAAGAGCGGTTCTGGTACGCCACCGTTTGTGTGAGAACCGAGGGAGCGTAACAAAGCGTGTGTCTGTGTAGCAGGGGCGCTGGGAGGGCAAGCCAGAAAGCAGTGAGGCTGGTCCCCCCAGAGGTGGGGTGGGTGGGTGAGTGGAAGTTCGGTGACACTTGTTTTAGTTTGTCTTAATATAGTTTTGACTTTTAGAAGTTTGTTAGTGTAATACAAAATTCAAAGCATAAACTTGAAATATAGGAAGAGAGAAAAAACCCCTAAAACTGAAAGCAAGTGAAAATAACCCCAGTCATATTCCTGTCAAGTACCATAGCCACATCTGAGGGGGTAATGGGGAGAGAGGCAGAAAAGGTAAGCTGTGAACACAGAACCGGGCCGTATGCCCATAGTCTTGACAAAGTTGGGTATGAACAATGAACAGCAAAGAAATCTTCTTGGTTTTTTTTTTTAATTTATTTATAAATTTTTGAGAGAGAGACAGACAGACAGACAAGAGGGCAGAGAAAGAAAGGGAAAGAGAAAATCCCAAGCAGGCTTCATACTGTCAGCACGGAACCCAATGTGGGGCCCAAACCCACGAACCGTGGGGTCACAACCTGAGACAAAATCAAGAGTCGGGCACTTAACAGACTGAGCCAGCCCCCCAGGGGCCCTGAAATCTTGATTTCTTGCTTGTCTTTTTGTAGAAGTATAGGTTATGCAACTTAGAAATTATTTTATATACATGATTGTATTGAGCAAAGGTGTTGATATTATTGGGAGCCAGGGTTCCTGCTGTGGAGAAAGTCCAAATATGAGTGGGAAAGGCAAGAACCTGTGGAGCAGACTGGGGTTGGAAGTACTGGTGTGGACTCATGGTTCCTGAGATTTGAGTACGTATCTGTTTATGTTTTCTGTGTGCACATGCGCATGGTCGTCGTGTGTCCATGAATACATGCATGCCATATACATAGTGTGCTTTCTAGCTCTGTATTCCAGAGGTGGCAAAAACCCTGTGGTGGCAGTGAGCACACCTAGTGGCCAGATCTTGATCTTCAACATCTTCCTACACGGAAGAATGAGGACTTCTTAGAGAAATAGCTAATTCCAGGGCTGGAGCAGGGTAGCCTAAAATGAATCTGAAGCATCTTATGATAGAATGTAAGGCAGTGCTTTAAAAAAATGATGGGGGCATGTCACAGATCAACTCACATAGGATCCCACTGGCCAAGTCTGGGACAATTTGTACATGAAAATATTAAGAACTATATGCGTTGTAACAACAGAGCAGTCCATGAGTCGCTCCTGATGAGAGAGAGAGAGAGAGAGAGATAGGTAACAGACAGAATGCTGAGTGTTGATGGGTAAATTTAAATGAAGTGCTAAAGTCGGAAAATAATTTTGCAACTATTGCAGTAAAAATTGCTTCTGGCAAGAATGATCCGATGGCCATTAAATGGAGGGAAAAAGTTCTTTGAGGGTTAGGATATTTGTATGGTCTTCAAGTGCCTTCTCACACATTGCATATTAGTTGCAGAAGAAAAAATAGTGACAATCAGTGTATAACCCAGACAGCATTTTGGGTGATGAAAATCTGTCCCTATGAAGACAGGTGGATGTCCCATATATCTGGATATGATAGTTGGGTAGTATTTCAGCCAGGAATGCAGCCCCCCAATTGAATCCTGAGAAAACCTCAAGCAAACTCAAAATGAGGTATATTCTACTTAATAAAACAAAGGAACTATATTCTTTCAAAATGTCAGTGCCCTAAAGGACAAAGAAATGCTCCAGATCAAAGGAGACTAGACAGGTGATGACTAAGTACGGTTCTTGGTTCTAGAACTTGACTGGCTTCAGATTAGAGGACGGGGTTGCTGTAGAAGGATGTCAGGGCATCAGCTGCCACACTTGCCCTTGGACAGCGAGGTGTGTCTGAGGCTCTGGGCCCTGCCTACCTGTCCCCTGCGGCAGTGCGGCCGACCCCTGCCCTTGGCCATCACCCACTGTGTTGACTTTAGAGCACTTACCTCCCTGTCCGCTGTTCTTGTTCCTGCGTGCATGTTTCTGCTTGCTTTCACCCAGCAGGTGGTGAGCTGTCTGAGGACAGACACACAGACTCTTCTCTGTTATATTGCTACTTTACATCTCCCAGAACATCATTTCTTAATAATTACTGAGGCCACCAAAGAACTTTTAGTTTGGGTGGCTTAAATCTCTTGATGTTTATCGTATTAGAAGTTAAAACTAAAGATTTAAAAAATATTTATTAATCAATTTAAAAATAGCATTAAGAAACTCATCACATCCTCATATTTATGAATGAATTTCTAAAATGAAGATTTGGTGCAAAGAATGGGCTTGTTTTCCAGTGTGGCCAGTCTCCCTCGCAGCCAGCATGATGGAAGCACCTGGGCCCTGTGCCTTGTCCCCGTTCAGGCGGCTGTGGCTCACATGATGTGGGGCCTCTGGAAGACTCATCATGTGCTGTGACGAGGAAGGGAGGGCGGTGGCCTCATGAACCCACAAAGGGTTTCTGGACCACTTTGAAAATCACTAGCTTAGAAAAGTTCTAGTGCCTAGAAGGCCTTTAGTAAATATTTGTTGAATGTATTAATGAATTCCAAAGCGGCTGCACGGCAGGGCCAGGCTTGGTTGGATTTATGAGTTCCGGCGTGTTCGTGCAGTTGGTCGCTGGATCCCGTCTCCACATCGTGTCTCCAGAGGGACGGCGAGCTCTGGCCTCATTGCCCCCCTTCCCCTGGCAGGTGTTCCTGTGAACAGCAGAGTGTCCTCCAAAATCCAGCAGCTTCTCAACACCCTGAAGCGGCCGAAGCGCCCTCCCCTGAAGGAGTTCTTTGTGGATGATTTTGAGGAGCTGTTGGAAGGTGAGAGATCTCGGGCGGGCTCCGTGTCTGAACGGGGTGGCTGTCCTGTCCAGGGCTGTGGGCAAATGTGCGTCCTGCGTGGTCGCACTGCGACATTACAGCACAACGAAATGACTCTCCCCTGTGTCCAGCCCTTGTGGTCACCATGTGTCGTAGTGAATTCAGCAGCACGTGTGACTGCTGGCTTTATTTGAACAGGGAAAAAAGCATACCACTCATAGTTAAGGGACTTAACGTTTTTCTGTGCCTCTAATCCAGGGCTTAGTACATGGTTACAAGAATACTCCTAAGGTTTCATTTTATTTACGTTATTTCAATTTTTTTTAAGTAGGCTCCACACCCAACATGGGGCTTGAACTCACAACCCTGAGATTGAGAGTTGCACACTCTACTGATTGAGCCAGCTGGGTGCCCCCATTATTTCATTTTTTTAATTTAAACTTTAAATCTGAAATACTTTTCTTCCCATGGTTTTAAAGTGTGTTTTTGGCATAGTTTTGGCCCTTTTTTCAGAAATCAAGTCACTCATTTATTTTTTTTTTAATTTTTTTAATTTTTAAAATTTTTTTAAATTATTTTTTATTTTTTAAAATATTTATCAAGTCTCTCATTTATTAATGAGATACACATTTAGGAAAAAAGAATATAGATTTGTTTGTAAAAGAAAATGACCAAGAAATAGAAAGAAGTATAAACCTATAGCAAAGGGACAGAAATAAAGCCTAGTACAAGGTGCCAACCATGTACATGTGTCAGCCACGGGACCCACAGCCAGCTTGCCCCTCTGCCCCTCACCTCTGCTGCGCGATGTCCACCCCCCCATCATCACCAGGTGTCTCCTCACTGAGGGTCAGACACAACTTTTAGGGCACAGCTTTCCCCTTTGTCATCAGATAACACCTTTCAGATGCAGAGTTCAGTGGTATAAATGCTGTTCTGGGCAGGTCTTACACGTGGGCAAATGTTGGCTACATGGACACAGGAAACATAATAGATTTTACTTTATTTTTCTCTTTCAACCTGGCGATGGGTGGTTTGCATGTGCGGACTGAAATACAACTCTTCTTACTTCTGTCCTTTATAAGCAGGACCCACGCCTGCTTCTCAGGTGTCATTTGGGTTGGCCACAACCTCACAAAAGCCTCAACGTCACCGCTTCTGTTCTGGGATTGTCCTGGGGGGTTACAGTCACCAGTGGCCATCATTGTCCAGGATGAATGACCATCTGTCCTTTGGTCAGTTGGTCTGTGACAACTATAATGATAAGGAAATCTAGACAAGTTATTGTAATCTTTTTACAAGTGTTTTTTAAGAGAATGTTTAAAAACAGAATGTGTGGATGGTTCTATGAAGTGCTAATTTTTAAATTTCGATTTTGCTTATAGTGCAGCAACCGGATCCAAATCAGCCAAAGCCGGAGGGCAGCCAGATGGTAGTGCTGAAAGGGGAGCCCCTGGCCGTGGGCACTGCCTGGCCACCGTCACTGCTGGCCGCCTTGCAGCGCTGGGGCACGATGCAGCCCAAGGCCCCCTGCCTGACTGCCTTGGACACAGCTGGGAAGGCCGTCTACACCCTCACCTATGGCAAGTGTCAGCAGAAAGCACGTGAGCTCTGGTTTGGCTGTAAAAATGTTCCATGTGTCATGTCATACAACACAGGCATACAGCTTCACGAACACGATAGAGCAATTCCTGAGAAACCAACACCACTGTCAAAACAGTAGAACATTGGCTCCCTCCAGGTGCCTGCACCACTGTCCTACCTCCCAGCAGAGGGAACTACTCGCTGACCGGTGGTGACGGCCACTGCTCTGGTGTCGAGGTTCACATCTATAGATGCATCTCTGAACAAAGGAATTTAGTTTTGTCTACTTTTGAACTTTGTATTTTTGTGTTGGGTATCTTTTGGTTCCATATTATGTTTTTATGTAACAAATCAGAAGCATCTGGCTTGATGCCTCTTTGCAGAGTGAGTGTACTCCTGTAACCAGCACTCGGCTCCAGAGCATCTCTAGGTCTCCAGCCCCGTGTCCCTTCCAGCACGTGCGTCCTCACACTGGCAGTGAACTGTCATATACCTGTGAACGTTGCTTCGCTTGTCTCTCAGTTTCATGTCTGGAATTAGGCGAGACTCGGCCATGATGTGGTGTGAAGCTGTAGTTCTTCTCACTGATGGATGTTACTTCAGTGTCTGAATTTGCCCACATGACGCATGTGCTCCACAGTCAGGCACGTGTGCACTGCTTCCCCTGGGGCCGTTGTGCACAGTGCTGTTAATGGACATTCTTGGGTGCGTCTGTTGGTGAAACACATGCGGTCATTTGTGCTGGGAATGTGTACACGTGCAAGTAGCCTTGTGCAGCGTTAGACACACCGTCCCACGGTTTCCAAAGTGGCTGCAGCAGCCTTCACTCCAGCCGGCAGTTTGCGCACTTTCAGTTTCCTTGTCGTCCTTGTCGATACTTGATATTGTCTGTGTTTTTCGTTTTAGCCTTTCCTGTAGCTGTTGTGCTGTCAAGTTGTTTTGCTAGTTTATTTGCATTTCTCTGATGGCTAATGATGCTTTTTGTACATTTATTGGCTGTTTGAATATTCTCTTTTATCTACTTTCCAAATCTTTGGCTCATTTTTCTATTTGGTTGCAAATGTTTTCTTCTTTGTGTTTCAAATACACGTCTTTTGTCAGGTATGTTTTGCAAATGTCTTCTTCCACTCTTTGGACTGTCTTTTAACACTTTTATTAGTAGCTTTAGATAAATGAGATTTCCTAATCTAATTAGCCTAATTTATCTATATTTTCCCCTTGTTATAGTGCTTTTTTGTCCTGTTTGGCTAAACCTAAGGTCACAAAGATATTCTCCTACCTTTTCCTCGAAGAACTTGCTTCACTCTTCATATTGAGGTGTCATGATTCATGTACAATTTAGTTTGTGTGTGGCGTGACATTGGGGCCATTCTCTTCTCCTATGAGTGTCTGATTGACCTACTGCCCTTCACTGAAGAGGCATTGCTTCGCCCAGGGCCCCATGGGGCTGCCTTGTCTGTAACGGGTGGAAACACGCGCAGGTGTGCTGCCGCTCTCCGTGCCGCTTCCGCAGTCTGTCTTCTGTCCTTGCTCCCTGAACGGCTGTAGCTGTGTGAGTCCTGGTGTCTGGTATAGACGTCCTTCTGCTCTATGACTGTTTCTTAAGGTTTTCCTGACTATGCTGCATTTCTAAGCCACCTTTAGAATCAGTTTGTCAGTTTCCAGAAAGATTCCTGCTGGGATATTGATTGGCACTGTGTCAATTCTGTAGTTCAGTTTGAAGAGAATCGATGTTATTACAATTACAGAACCTTCCAGTTCATGACTGTGGAGTATCCCCACTATTTCAAGGCCTTATTTAATTTCTCTCAGTGAAGTTTTATACTTTTGAGTACAGAGCTCTTGAGCATCTTTCATTAGATTTATTCCTATTGGAATGGAATGGTTAGAAATTGGTGCTTGTTTATAGAAATGCAATTGATTTCCTCAGATGGTGATTTTATATCTAGTGATCTCGTTAAATTAACTTATAATTTTTTGTTAGTAATTTGTCCATATATCTTTTGGATATCCTGTGGTCAAAAGCATGTCATCTATGACCGAAAACAGTGTTATTTTGGCCTTTCTGATACCTACACCTTTCATCTCTTTCTTGCTCACTGCATGAGCCAGAACTGCCAGTATGATGTTGGATAGCAGTCATTCTTGCCTCCTTCTCCATCTTTGGTAGAAAGCATTGGGTCATGAAGTATGATGTTTGCCATAGTTTTTTTGCTTGTTTTGTGGTAGAAATTCTTTGTCAGATTAAATAAGTCCCCTTCTATTCCTAGTTTAGTAGAAGTTTTGTTTTTTTTTTTTTTAATAATGAATGGCTTTGGGTTTTATCGAATACTTTTTCTGCTCTGTGAAGATGATCATATGGTGTCTCTCTCCTCTCCACTTAATTTGATGAGTTATACTGATTAACTTTAAAATGTTAAGCAGTCCTTGCATTCCTAGAATAAATCCCACTTGGCTATGATATCTTCTTAACAAATGTCTGGATTTGATTTAACCAATATGTTGTTTAGGATCTTTGCATCTGTGTTCATTAGATATTGGTGTGTAATTGTTTAAGGTAGGAGCTCCTTGCCCACTGTGAGGACTGTGGTTGTTGACTGCCTCTACCTGTTGAATTCATTTTTTTGGGGTCTCTCTCTCTTCTTCTCAGGCTTTGGTTACACTAATACCTTTTTTGAATCCTGTGTAGGTTTCATGTTCTTTTTTTATATTTTGTATTCTTTTTTATATATTTAGTTGACTCTTGAACGATGTAGAGGTTAGGGGCACTGAGCCCCTGCACAGTTGAAAACCTAAGTATAAGTTTTGACTGTCCCAGAACTTAACTCCTATTAATCTACTGTTGGCCAGAAGGTTAACTGATAACGTAGGCAGTTAATTAACACATATTTTTTATATGTTTCATATGCTGTATTCTTACACTAAAGTAACTTAGAGAAAAGAAAATGTTATTATGAAAATCATAAGGAAGATGGGGTGCCTGGGTGGCCCTGTTGGTTAAGCATCCGACTCTTGATTTTGGCTCAGGTCATGATCTCTCAGTTGGCGAGTTTGAGCCCCACATTGGGCTCTGCGCTGGCAGTGCAGAGCCTGCCAGAAAATCATAAGGAAGAAAAAATAGATTTACAGTACTGTATTTATTGAAAAAAATCCACGTGTAAGTGGACCTGTGTTGTTCAAGAGTCATCTGTACTTCAGTTTGGACATTTTTTTATTTTCCTTAATTTAAAACTCTCTAATTCTGGTTTCTCAAATTTCTATTGTATTGTGAAATTCCTGATGAATTCTTAATTTAGATATTGTCTTTTTAGTTTAGAATTTTCATTTCTGTATTCTAATTCCTATTCTAATTTTCTAGGAAAATTCTATATCATTCCATGCATTGTCTTCATCTTTTCTTTTATTTCCCAGAATCCATACATTCCTTACCACGACTGAAAGTCTTTGTCAGCGAGCTCCAGGGTCGAGTCACCTCCGGGCCTGCTGCTCTTGTCTGTACTTTCTCTTGGTTTTAGTCTGGGGAACTTGTCTTTTGGGATGCCTAGTAGTTTTTTGATTGAATGATGGACATAGTGTGTAAGAAATTGTGGAGGCTCCAGATGATGTCACCTTCCCTGAGAGAAGTTCCTTCTTCTCTACTCTCGGCAGGTACCGTGGTGGCTGGTCATTGCAGTCGTGTCAGGGCTGGCTCACTCCACCTGTGAGCTCCTGTGTTTGCTTTTCCTCTGGGGTTCCCCAGCCCTGGCTTCTATCTCATGTACTACTAAGAACTCCACATTGCTTCTCAGAAGTTTTCAACGTGGATTTTCAGCCTCCTGTCAGGACTGAAGACTGTCACAGGCCCGGGACTCAGTAGATGGCCGACAGGGAGGCCGGCTGTGCTCTCACAGCTCCCAGCCTCTGCCAGCAGCCCTGCTGATTTCTTTGTGCCTCGGTGGGAGTGCGCCACAGGCACAAGGCTGTGGATACTCCGTCTCCTGTGGGTGCCAGGACCCTAAACACGCCCAGCGTTTGAAAGAATCAGCTGCACATGGTCAGCTTGCCTCCCCAAGGGTTTTCCCTCTGGAGAATTAACTCCTTTAGTTTTCTTCGCTGCCTCCAACAGATGGTTTCTGCATTTTATGCAGTTTTTAAATTCTTGTAGGTAGGAGCCCCAGTCTGCCACAGTACGCTCTCCTACTTGGAAGCAGAATCTTTTTCCATTATGCTTTTAAGATTCATCCATATTATTGTGTATAGTTGCAACACATTGATCTCTGTCAAGGAATGAATATATATCAGGATCTACATATCGGTCGGCCATAACATTGCTAAGTTTATGCTTACCTTATCAGTGCGCTAGCCCCACCTGTTCCCATCATTGTCAGGCTTATTGTAGCTAATCTGGTGAGACTGTGATAGGAGTATTTCATTTTGGTGTTAATTTGCATTTTCCTGATGGCTAGGAAGGTTGAGATCTTTTCCTGGATTTTTTTTTAATCATTTGGATTTTCTCTTTTGTTAAGTACTGTTGAATCTTTTACACATTAAAAACATTTTTTTAAGTTTATTTATTTTGAGAGAGAGATTATGAGCAGGAGACAGGCAGAGAGAGAGAGAGAGAGAGAGAGAGAGCGAATCCCCAGCAGGCTCCACACCGTCAGCACAAAGCCCTATGTGGGGCTCAAACTCATGAACCATGAGATCATGACCTGATCATGACCCGCACCAAAATCAAGAGTCAGATGGTTCACTGAATGAGCCACACAGGTGCCCCTGCACATTTTTTATATCGGGTTATTTGTGGGAATTTTTTATGTGCTCTGGATACCAGTCCTTGTCAGTGACATGTGCTACAAGTGTCTCCCACTTTGTGCTTTGGCCTTTACTCCCGAACGGGAGTCTAGTGAGCAGAAGGTCCTCCCAGCTTCACCTTTTGTTTGTGTTCTCAAGGACTCGCCCTCTGCCAGGATCATAAAGCTATTGTATGATCTTGTAAGAGCTCTGCTGTTTATATATGGTGTAGGGATGGGTCTCGGGCCAGGTTTTCAGGACGCATAGCCAGCTGTCCATTCTCATTCCCACAGGGCTGCCACTCTTCTCCAGCGCACCTGTGTCCTAGGTGGACTTGTCCACATGCAGGGGGTCTGTTGGGGTTCTTTGTTTTATTTATTTATTTTTTTTATTTTTTTTTTTAATGTTTTTATTTATTTCTAGGAGAGAGAGACAGTGTGAGCAGGGGAGGGTCAGAGAGAGAGGGAGTCACAGACTGAAACAGGCTCCAGGCTCTGAGCTGGCAGTCAGCACAGAGCCCGACGCGGGGCCCGAACCCACGAACAGCGAGATCATGACCTAAGCGAAAGTCGGACGCTTAACCGACTAAGCCACCCAGGTGCCCCAGGGGGTTCTTTGTTTTAGCCCACTGGGTTATATATATTTCCTTTGGCCAGGACCACACTTCCTTAATTACCATGGCTTTGTAAGAAGACTTGACATGCATGGAGGAACCTTGCTTCCTTCTGCAGGACCATCTCGGCTGTTCTCATCCCTGTATTTCAGTGCCAGCTTTGGGATCAGCTTGTCAAGTGCCACAGACATGCCTGTTGAGATTCTGATTATCATTGCTTTGAACAGTTTGTAAATTAACATCTTTGCATTAGTGAGTCTTCCATTGCATGGACATAACATAGCCTTCCGTTCATTCAGGTCTTCACTTTATCTCAGTAATGTTTTATAATTTTTTGTGGTGAGACTGCATATCTTTTGTAACACATTCTTAGGTATGTGGCATGTTTGTTTAATCATATTGTAATCATTAAAAATTTTTACTTACTATTTATTGCTGGTATACAGAAATGAGATAGTCCTTTGTACACCGTTGTTGTGTCTGGCAGCCATGCTAATTTCAGATATAAAAGATTCATAATGTACACAGTCACATCATCTGCAAATAACAACAGTTTTGTTTCAAACTGTTTACTTTCTCTCTACACCTGCTCCTTACTGCATTGGCTAAGACTTTCAGTAAAAAGGCCTTTGTCCTTGACTTATTTCTACTTCTGCAGGGAAAGCTGTCAATATCTCACCATTAATTATGATATTTCCCATAGGATTTTTAAAGATAGGTTCTATTACTTTAAAGAAATTTCCTTTTATTCTGAATTTAAGAAGGATTTTAAAAATCATTTAAAATCCTGAACGATTGTTAAATTGTTTTACTTTTTTTCACCTTGGTTAATGTGACAAATTATGTTGATTTTCTGTTGACACTTTTTGCATTCTTGAGATAAACTGACCTGGTCATGATGCATTATTCTTTCTCTATATAGCTGGATTCAGTTTGGAAGCGTGTATGTATTACAGTTATCAACATCTTGAATTGACCTTTCTATATAGACAAAGGCAACAGTGCTTTGACTTGAATATTTTTTTTTCTCATTTGTTTCTCGGGTCCCACAGTTCGCTCACTTCACAGTGTTGCGTCCAGGTATAGGACTGTTTCCAATGAAGTTTGACTGCTTATTCAGAGGGCGTGGCTGCTCCAACTGCATGTGGTTGCTCCACAGGAATTTGAGGGGGGTAAATTGTAACTTTTGTGTTACCTCTTTGATACCTTATCGCAGGGCAGGGGTACATGTCAAGGCTGCTGTGGGTGTTGGGGATGGACTCAGGGTTTTTTTTTTTGTCTTCCTAACCCCATTGTCACCCTGGCCTCAGTCTGCCTTCCCAGAGACCTTGACTCTTTGTTTCCTCTCCCATCTTCCTTGGGGACGCTGTCCTTTGTTGAGCATCCACCAGAGCTGGGCTCTGCACTGAGACTGCGTGCCAGAGGGGAGGGGTCCTGGGACCAGGGGCTGGGTCCTGGAGGGCCAGACACAGCACTCCAGCAGTCAGTGGCTCTGGACAGGTTACTGACATCTCCCAGACTGTCCTGAGTAAAACATAGAGATGGAGATAGGACCCACCTCATGAATTATAAAGGTTAAAAGAATTATATGCCACTCTGATAAGAGATGTGATTGAGATATACTTAGTGACATGAAAATGCATTCAGAATGCAATGTTGACTGAAAAAAGCAGAGTGCAGTATTGTCCCATTTCTTGAAAATTGCATATAAGTATATACGCTTGTGTGTGTCTGTGTGTGTGTGTGCGCACGCATGCGTGCATCTGTAACTGAAAGAATGCTGACTTTGTTCTGCTAGCTTTTCTATGTTCTAAATTTTCTATAATAAAATCCTGTTCTATTTTTGTATTAAGAAAAATAAATCTATGAGTTCTGTTTAAAAGAGAAAACTACGATGTTCATTACAGCATTGTGCAAAAGAGTTACCAGTTGGAAACTAGCTAAATTTCCAACAATAGAGTGATGGTATGTTATGGGATATTATGGTTGCTACATTAAAATGTTAACTATTAGTCTCTTAAATTTTACATTGCTTAGTGTTTTTATTTTATTTTAGGCAAACTTTGGAGTCGGAGTTTAAAACTAGCTTATACTCTACTTAATAAACTGACTAGTAAGAATGAACCACTACTTAAACCTGGAGACAGAGTAAGTAAATAGAATATAACTTATTGGAGTGAGCAAAAACAGAAACTCTAATAGTATGTCTCATTGCAATGAGTATTCCATCAGTTGGTTAGACTTATAGCATTAACACAAGGGATTTAAAGTCAACAAAGAAAAAGTATTAAATATGGAAAAGGTTTATGACGATGTACATAAGATGCTGGTTCCTTTTATTCTTCCTCATTGCCCAGCCGCTGACTCTTCAACTTCTTTCCTCTTTGACTTCATATAAATTTATTTTAATAAAACTATTAATAAATATTAGGTCCCCAAAACTTAAGTTTTATGAGAAAACGTTGACCTGACTTTGAAATTCAATGTGTTCCCTATTCATCTCTTCCTCTCTTCCCTCTTGCCAGGCAGCCCCTCTTAGCTCACTGCACAGGTGGTTACGAAGGAGGCTAGAGACACGTTGTCCCTTGTACTGACTATACTGCCCAGCGTTTTTGGCAGTAGACGTGTGGGGCTATTTAAATTGACCAGAGTTAAATAAAGTAAAAAATTTAGTTCCCCAGTCACATAAGCCACGTTTCGAGGGCTCATAAACCACACGTGGCTAATAGCTACCACATTTGATAGCTTGAAGATAGAACATTTGCATCATCATAGGAAGTTCCGTTGGTCAGCACCGCTCCAGGCAAACTGAACCAGACGCGAGGAGCGCAGGTATACCAGAGCACCCAGGATGGAGGACAGGACACCCAGCAGGGAGAAAGCCTAGTCAGAGAGGCTGCCCGTGGTCACATCACCCAACAGTGAAACTGTACATTTCGGGCAGCTCTGTGAGTGCCCACTCTTTAAATAGAACCAGTCCCCAAGGACATTTGAAGAAGGAAATCTGAATGAAAGAGAACAACCAAAGGGCAAAGAAGAGAAAAACAAGAAACGGGGGTGGTGGCCAGGGCAGGGGGGAAAGAGGGAGGAAGAAGAAAAGAAACTTGGAAGAAAGCCAGAAACAAAAAAGAAATTAAAAATAATTAGATTAGTATCCCTGGAGAACTCAGATGAACACATTGCTCCATAAATCAAGAAAAAGATGCTAGTAGGGAAGACTCAGAATTGGAAGGCGGGAAGGACAAACCGTGCAAACGTTAGACTTGGTCAAGAAGGCCCAGCATCTGGGCAGTAGGAGTTCCAGACAGGAAGGAGGACAGAGAGTAGAGAGTGTTATGTGGTTGTAGTAACGCTGGTCGACATCCTGGAGCTGGAGGGTTAGCTTCAAAGTGAAGGGTCTGCAGCAAAGCCTGGCAGAGCTTCTTACCGCGTGTGGAGCAGGACAGGAACGAGCCTCTGAGCTCCCAGGGGACAGGAGGGAGCCGCAGCACGGGGCGGCCCGGGAGGACGGAGGCCCTAGGACGGGGGCTCGCTGCCGCGCATCTGGTAAGACTTAGGAGTTTACCTGGCGGTTGATTACTTAGAAAATACTTTCGACAGGTATTTCACATACCTGGTGGAGCAATTCAGAACGAATCGCCCAGCGGAAATGTGGAAAGCAAAGCACCTAAAGGTGGTGGTGGCAGTCACCATCAGCAGATGTGGACGAAGCTCTAAGTGTGTGATGAGTACGAGAACAATGCTTGTGCTTTAGGACGAGCATGTAAGAATTCCTGATTAATGGTGTGCTTTAAAATCAATCCAAGAATCACTAATTTATTTTTCTTGAAAAAGATTCCTGCAGGGACAGAGACTTCCAGATACTCTTCCTGACTTGTGAGAGTCCACGCAGTTAGGTTGGTTATGAAAGAGTAATAGGATCACAGTGAATGAGCTAATTATGAGGGGTGGTTAGCAAATTTCTCTTCCCACGAGGAATAGAATTTATAAAAGTCAACAAACACTACTCTTTATAACAAATTCTCTAAAAATGTTTTTATGCCAAACATCCGGTCTCAAAGCTATAGGTCATAGTTCTGGTACAACCACTGTTAACATCAACTTCTGAAGGAGAGCTTTGCCCTTTTCAACAAATCAACTTGCTGGAAACTCGATCTCCAGACCTCAAGCAGAGAGTATAGGTGTAGCTTGAGTTTTGTCTTATGAAGTGAAGAGTTATTAGCAGCCTTGCTTTGTGTCGCAAGGGCCCGTGTCAGCAGATCACTGTTCTGACTTACCGCTTAATGGTTTCAAGTACACTTATTACAAGATTTGGGGCTTATAAAAATCTTGTTCCATAAATAGCTTCTGAGTTTATCAGGTGTTCTAAGAAATGGGGGAAGAGAAAGAGGCAGGAACACAGAGGGCTGAGTGTTCATCACCCAGGAAATACAGTCAGTACTGAGACATTTTCAAAAAATAGAAAATACCAGTATAGGCATAATATTTAAAAATATGAGAGCAAATAGCAAGAGGAAGATGTAAGATTTTTTAAAAATGTTTATTTGTTTATTTTGGTGCGCCAGCCAGGGAGGGGCAGAGAGAGAATCCCAAGCAGTCTACATGCTGTCAGTGCAGAGCCCAAGCTCACGACCATGAGATCATGACCTGAGCCAAAATCAGAGTCAGACGTTTAACTGACTGAGCCACCCAGGCACCCTTAGAATATTTTTTAAGTGGTTGCCTTGGGGAGTGAGGAAGGGTGGAGCATATGGGTATTGTTGTTTTTATTAGTACTTTTGTCATCTTAAATTCTGTCTTTTTAAAATGTTTTGATAAAAATAAAAATATAAGATAAATAAAATAGAGCATATGATTTAAACAGTGGCACCCTGATGACCCAGTAGGCCCCCCAGGGGACTCTGCAGGAGGCAAGAGCTGTAGGGATCTTAGCTGAGGTGTTCCGTGCCCTCCCCCCTTCCCTGTGAGTACACCGAAGTCTTGAGTAAAGATCTGTTCAGCTAAAACTTTGCTGTTGGGACCTTCCAGAAGGTACTTTAGGTAAAATTTTATTCCGAGGCCACTCTTCCTGTTGGTGCAGGTTCACCTGGGCTGCTGGATGCGGGGGTCGGGGGGGGGGAGGGGTGCCTCACTAGGGAGCTTCGGCTGCTGCCCAGATAGAGTGCACGGGGCCGGGTCTCCATCCCACAGCCAGACTGGTTGGTGCTGGGCTGCCTTCAGACAAACATTTTAAATTATTTTGTTGCATGTGGAATAAAGATCCCAGCCTAAAAACTGAAAAGTTACATGGTCAAGGGAACTTAAGGACCAAGAATTAACCCCAAAATTACATTTACTGTCTCAGATTCCATCTAGTCAGCAGAGATTCTGAGTGTTGAGAATGATCACGTGTTTCACGAGTGGGCTTCATGGTTTTCCTTCATGCTGTCGTAGGTGGCCCTGGTGTTTCCCAACAGTGACCCCGTGATGTTCATGGTGGCGTTTTATGGCTGTCTCCTGGCAGAGCTGGTTCCTGTCCCCATAGAAGTGCCGCTAACAAGAAAGGTAGTTCATTCGGTCTGGGCCGCGGGGTGTTCTTCCAAAGGTGACATGTAGACTTGGCGCACCCTGTTTGCCCTCGCGGGAAAGGACGCGCGGTCTGGCAGGCAGGTGCTGCGTTGCCTGGGGGTGGGGGGGTAGGGGGGTGCAGGCAGGACTCTGGGAGACATTAGATGCAGTTTCATCTACAATTACTCCTTTTTATGTATCTTGTCGGTGAGAGGGACTTTTAGAAGCTGTAAGTGGAGCTATTATCTATGTGAAATTTTCAGTACAAACAGTGAGCATTTTTTCCTCTGATGAATGGGATTTATGATTTGATAAGGTTTTGTTAAACTTTCTCTCAAAACCGCATGCTTATTGATGATAATTTTCATTTCTTGGGAATAAATAAATCACACAGTAATGTATTGTAGCTCACTTCTAAGTGATAGTTTTGAGTATGCAAGATGGCAGTTTTCTCGCATTTCTGTCCACGTAATTTTTTTGTTGCCAACAAATGATTACTATGGGGGGCTTGCTGACGTTCTGGGGAGCCAGTACATTCTAAGTGTAAATGTCAGTAATCTGCTTATGGAAAACAAATAGCATTTTAGGAGTAGACAAAGCATGTGTTTTAGAAGATTAGAGTTCTCTACCGTTTCAGTGTTCAGGTACTTAAAGTGAGCATTGTCAGCAACAAATACTCAAGAATCCCAAAAGTAAAGTTTTAAATAAAACCAGTGTATCTCAAACGATAATATACGATGAGTAGATATTTAACTACAGAGATTCTTAGAAAGAAGCAAGAGATTTGTCAAACCTGCAAGAAGAAAATGACAAACCTTTACTGAGGGACACGTGTAGCAGAAGGACTGACAGGGAATGTGCATTTCTGTGGGAAATAAGTAAAAGTGTCAAAGGTTGGGCCTCCCCAGGTTTATCTGTAAGTTTTAAATGTAATTCAAGTGGAAATTTCCATGGTGTTATTTTTGGAGTTTATTAAAATGCTCCAAAATGTCATTTGCAGGAGAACACTTTGAGAAACTAGCCCATTATCTAGAACTTTATATTTCGTTGCAAAACTATGTCTTTTAAATTTAAAAATGCTTATATTTTACTCATGAAAATATAGTGTCTACCTACATAGGATTGGGTTGTAGGACTTTGTGAGGTGAGGTGAAGTGCTCTGCTTTCTGCGTGTGGGCCTGAGCGGGGAGGCCCCATGAGCACCTCTCCGTGTTTTGTGCAGGACGCTGGCAGCCAGCAGGTCGGGTTTCTACTGGGCAGCTGTGGCGTCACCCTGGCCCTGACCACGGACGCTTGCCAGAAAGGCCTGCCCAAGGCACAGACTGGAGAGGTGGCAGCTTTCAAAGGTAGGCCCCCGAGGGCGAGGGAGTCCGCATGCAATGCCCAGGTGTCCTTTCATGGCGGCCAAACCTTATGTGGCCTAAGGAGTCTTTAGGAGTGAGGTCCTGGTCACAAGCCTGTGCATCTCGCCACCCACCCCCTGCCCCCAGTTCAGTGTCTAGGCCTGGGCTGGTCAGTGTGGTGGTCACAGGTCAGAGGCGTCCGCTGACTTAAATATGAATTAATGCAGTGTAAACAAGGCCGAGACTTCTGCTCCCTGGATGCTCAGTGGCCAGTGGTGGGCGGCTCAGCCCTGAGACCCACTGACCACTTGCCCGGGCCGGTGTCCTGTCCACACCCTCACAGGTTGGCCCCCACTTGCCTGGCTGGTGATCGACGGGAAGCATCTAACCAAGCCCCCGAAAGACTGGCATCCGCCGGCCCGGGAGGAGGGGGCCGGGACTGCCTACATAGAGGTAATGACCTCATCCAGCTCAGAGCCTGTGGGCCCCACAAGCCCAGCTCGTTTCCCGTGAGAGTGTGAGCAGTCACAGGCTCACACTTACCCTCCATCTTACCTTCACCTCAGAGGCAGGAAGGGTCGGACGGGAGCTCACTCAGGTCTGGTTTCACTCCTGCTTGATCGTCCCTCCCCAGCTCCCCCGGGATGTTGGCAGTTGGGGGGAGCCTGCGTGCACCGCTGTGCTGGGACACTTGCCCCGCGGTATGCCCCAGTTTCCTCTGTGGGTGTCACCCCGAGAGTCATGGCATAAAGTGTGCTCCAGTGTGACAGATGGTTAGCGAAGGACAGACGACTGACAGCTTCTCCTTTTTAAATTCTGTCAGCTTCCTGTTCTGTCTGGTGTGTCCTCCAGAAGCATCACATAATGGATTTTTTTCTTGAAATCTTTCAGTATAAAACAAGCAAAGAAGGCAGCACAGTGGGGGTCACGGTGTCCCACGCATCCCTGCTGGCACAGTGCCGTGCTCTGACCCAGGCTTGTGGCTACTCAGAAGGTAAGGACACGCGCGCGGCTCTTCCAGCCTCTGCCCCAGGTGGGCCCGGGAGCTGGGGTGCTCAGTTCTCTCTCTGCTTGTGCTGGAGGCGTGGGTGTTGGGTCACCCTGGCAGCCCCACTCAGGGGTCTTTCCAAAAAATTCATGTGTGTATTGATTGTATGGAGCATGCAATTCACACACTTGCTTATGCCTGGTGGGCTGGTTCAATCTGTGATGTAGCTGAGGGGTAGTGTATTTTGCACTTAAAAAAATGGAAAACCATCTTATTGGACCCCCGTTTGTATTACTGTTTTCTATGAGTGTGGTTTTGGCCTAAGCTGTCATATATGCAAATATAGAAATAGAACCTTTATGGTCGTAGATTTTCTGGTGGTAACATGTAGGTAGCCCTCCCCCACTTACTGTTAAATATTAGATATTTAACTTTAAGAACTGTTATTTTAAAAACTATAAAGATGTATACATGGTGGTTTCCTTACCATAACAATACTGGAATTGAATAAAACTAGAGAGTAAATTGAATGGTATGTTTAAATAACTAAAATATGGGTGTTTAAAAGTAAGGGGTAAAAAAAAATAATGAAATGAAAAGGGGTAGCTGAAGACTCCAGTGGATATTTGGAAAAAGATTTTAGATATATTCAAGGGCCTGAATAATGTTTTAAAAATTGGATCTGTTAAATCAAGTCACATAGTTTTCTTTTTGTCGAGATATACGTATCACTTCTCTTTTGGGCTCTCTAGCTAACAAAAGGGGCGTGTGCACAGAACATACTCAGAAAGCACTCACATTTCCTGGCACAGCAGACTCATGTTCACCATTGGTGAGGTGCACCTGGGCATTGCTGTGGCTTTGATGGGGGTCCCATTCGCTCACAGCGCCTGTGCGGGGCTGGAGCCAGGTCCTGCCGAGCACAGGGCTGCGTGCAGCCCAGGTTGCCACCACTCCCGCATCTGCCACCTCCACTGGCGGAGAGCAGGGAGGAGGGGCAGCTTTCCGAGGAGGGGCAACACGAGCAGTATGTGATGTTGCCCGAAGATGTAGGGTCACGGCCTCGGTGTGAGAAGTGGGGGAGTCCGGGTGTAAAGTGGGAAGTAAGCGTGTCCACGATGAGTCCTCACTCCACATCTCACTGCAGAGTGAGAGCCTCGAGCAGCCGCCTCGGGCACGCCGTTCCTGGTGTTTCTGGACCAGGGATCAGCATAGCTCTCTGTTTGAATCCAAAATCGTATGATACACTTTTGAGTTTTTCTAGTTTGAATAGATAACCAAAATGATTGCTGAATTAGTGCATGGTGTTTGGAAATGCTGTGCATGTTTCCTAAAAGTCTTCATGTCAATGATGTGTTAGTCTCAGGTTCTTTAAAAATGCACATGACTTGTGAAGAGGGTCACTTAGTGGTTTAACCATCTTTGTCCACTTTCAGCTGAGACATTAACAAATGTGCTGGATTTCAAAAGGGATGCTGGTCTGTGGCACGGAGTGTTAACAGTGAGTGTTGTACGCTAACTGGCCTAATTGTTACAATGAGGGGTTCTAGTGCTTCATATCAATAGATGACACCAAGCCCTATTTTTAGTGATGTAATTAGCCCTTATCTGAACTGAAGTATCATCATGAGAAGGGCATTGACATTATCTCTGCCTTCTCTGGTGTGGCATGGCCCTCTGCGGTCTGCCCCTGGAGCTCCTCTGTTTCTCTCACAGAGCGTCATGAACAGGATGCATGTGGTCAGCATCCCCTATGCACTGATGAAGGTGAACCCGCTGTCCTGGATTCAGAAAGTGTGTGTGTATAAAGGTAACGGGAAACAGCACCATCAATGGATTCATCCTTCATTAAAGAGGTCACTTAGATTAAGAAAACAATAAAGCCAATACGCAGAGCTGCAGGTGCGGGCTGAGGAGCCCCCACAGCCCGAGTGCGCCCTGACCTGCATGCACAGCCTGAGCAGCCCTTCTGGAGGGCCTCGCTGTGACAGCTCTCTTCTGCAAGGACCACGGGCTTCTGATTTTATTCTCTTGAAATTTCCTTTACAGTCACATCAGTACTCCCAATTCTTAATAGTAGATAGAGATGGTTTTAATCTGAAGTTGGGGCTTTTCAAGCTACCAGTAGCAGAGCTGTTGATTCCAATGAAGCAGTGTAGACAGAGTGCCATGGGGCTGCCCACGCGCCCCCCCCTCCCACACCCTGCCCCCTGCCTCAGCTAGCCACAGTGCTTCCTGAGCACGTGCACAGCCCTCGGCTCCTCCTCTGATCCAGCAGGGCCAGGGGGCACTTTCAGGAAGCCCTGAGGCTGGGCCTCAGGTTTCTTTTCTCCCACTAACTCTTCCTGGCTAACTGGGTTTACCTGTCTGCCCATGCTGATCGCAGCACTGACCGCCACATGCAGACGTTGGGCGCGTGCTCTGCTGGTGCATCTTTGCAGCAGCTTTGGGTGGTAGCTGTCTCTGTTTCTCCTGTTTTATGGAGGACAGCTGAAGTTGTGGGTGCATTTGGCAGGTGTGGCCCACTAGCGTGCGAGGCCAGGACTGAGGGCCGAGTCTGTCTGTTCACATCCTGGCATCCTCCCAGCACACAGCAGGGAGTCAGCAGCTCAGATAGGGACCCCAAAAGACAGAAGAGCAGACATGGAAAGAACAAGATAGAGCTTCCAAGAGAAAATTAAAGTTGGGAGACAGATCTGAGATTTCTGTGTCTGAATCAGACCTCGTAGCTAGCCAGTTTTTAAGCACAGCAGGTCAGGACAGTTGCACTACCTATGGGACATGACTGCAGGAATTGTGTGGCCAGGAACACAAGTCAGTGTTGTGTGTCCACCTGCGTGCACCTGCATGTGTGTCTGTGAGGTGCGAGGGTGCCTCTTTCCCATGACACAGAGCACGTCTGTACCCCTCTTCTGCAGCCCGGGCCGCACTGGTGAAGTCCCGAGACATGCACTGGTCTCTCCTAGCTCAGCGGGGACAGAGGGACGTCAGCCTCAGCTCACTGCGCATGCTGATCGTGGCCGATGGTGCAAACCCCTGTGAGTAGCCCAGATGATCAAGCGCGTGGCGTCCCCTCCTGCAGGCCTCACTCTGGGGTTAAGAGGCTCAGTGACATTCCGTGCACATGAATGTCCTGTAACCTGCTGTGACATAAACCCCTTGGGAAGTGGGGACTCACTGGTGTCTCTCATGGATGTTTATTAAGGCACTGAGTTTAAAAGCAGTTTCAACACCGTTGACAGAAGATACATTAAGAAATGACTGGAATGTACATACTGACTGGGAGCGTCCCAGCCTCCGCTCTTGGTCCCTGTGGCCCCACTGATCCGGCTCCACCTCCTGGTGGGATTTCCCCTGGCGGCCAGTGTTACCCTGGGCTCCACTCAGGGTCTGAGCATGGCTGCCCATCAGGGGCCATCCGAGGCCTGTCGCAGGGGAGGCTTGGTTGACCTTGGGTGGGGTTTCTATGCAGCACAAAGCCCTCGACCAGGTAGGTGGGCTTTCTTGTGGGTTTAAAAGCTGTGTGCTGCCGTTTTGGCATCGAAACCACCCTGGACCAGAGGCTGGCCTTTCATCTAGTCCCCTGTGAGGAGGGCTCTGACAGCCCCGTGCCCCTGGGTCCCCATCTGCTCAGGAGGGCACCCCGCCTTCTAGCTCCTCCACCCACACCTGGGCCCGGCACGGCCCCTCCTGCCTCCAAGACACGGAGAACTGCTCACTGCTCTGCTTCCCCAAACCACCTGAACAGCCCCGCAGAGCCTCCACTCTGCCCCGCCGCCGACAGCTTCGCACCCGCATCGCTCCACCCTCCCAGGTGCTAGGCTTCCACCAGGAAGCCCTTCACCAGGCCTGCTCCCCCACAGACCCCAGATCCTGCCACCCCGCATGCCCCCTGAACAAGCTGCGTTGTCTCGTGTGTCCCCTGCTGTCTGTCAGTGCCCAGCACGAGTGGGACACAGGCCCCTCCCTTTCCTGGGCTTTGCTGTGGCAGAGAGCTTGAGGTGTGTGGTACAGCCCTGGGGTCCCGATGGTTGCAGCCGTGAGTAGGCAGCACCCGCCTGCCTGGGAGCTGAGTTTCCATATCTGTGACACCCCAGACTGTCACAGGGAGAGCAGGGGAGAAGCAGGGGTAGCCTGGGGACGTTGCATGGGCTGCCCTTGCGTGGGAGTGACAGGGACCCCATGGCCCCGAGGCACTTCCAGCAGCAGGCACTCACTCGCGTGCACCTAGGCCTCCTAAGGAGGAAGGGTCACCCCGTAAACACTTCTCTGGCCCCTCCCACTCAGCAGACCTGGGAGAAGGGTGAGGGCAGGGCTGGCTGTGAGTTAGAACTCAGAAACATGGCTGGGGTTAGACAGAGGCTTTCTGTGAAGAATTTCTAACTCTTCTCTGCTGGTGATTTCAAAATGCACCGTGCTTTCCATGGAAACAGCCCACCCCTCCCCTTGTCTCCCTCTGTCTCACGCAGGGTCCATATCCTCCTGTGATGCGTTCCTCAATGTCTTCCAGTCTAGAGGGCTGCGGCCAGAGGTCATCTGTCCATGTGCCAGTTCTCCCGAGGCGCTGACGGTCGCCATCCGCAGGTAACGAGATTGCTTGCCCTGTCTTGTAAACACGAGTTCTCGCTCCCACAGCTGAATTACCTGTGGCACCAAATACGGCCAGTCTGTCTCTAAGCAGTAGGATTCATGAAGCATTCAATGCTCCACCCTGTGCCAGGGTCCCAGGCGCGTGTGCAGAGTGAGGGGCGGCCCCCGGGCACAGGCCCGTTGCCCTGCTGTGGCGGGACCTGTGTAGCGGCTCCCTGGGCTGTAATCACGGGCTTGTTTTCCCCGAGCGCTTCTCCTCCTCCTTGGCCTTGGTAAGCGTAGCAGCCCAGAGCTCTTCCCTGCCCTGAGGAGGGCCCGAAGTCCGCAGTGCTGCCAGCCACGGACGGGGTTCTGTGCCTGCGCGGCCCTCAGGCCTCCTGGAGAAGCACCCTGACCCGAGCTCAGCGCCGGCCCACTCACGAGGAAGCCCCCAGGGGGCGCCTGTGCTCCTCCGGCTCAGCCCAGAGGGCAGGCTCTCGTCCTTCCCGGGCTCCTCCCACCCCCATGTTGCTCCCCAGGCCACCTTTTCCTTCCCGGGCCGCCTACCTCTTGCCAGCCCCAGAGCTCTTGCCCACAGCAGCTCCGAGTGCCGCCCTGGCGTAGAGGGCGGTATGGTCAGTCGAGAATGTTAGATTGGTATATTCATAAAGAGTCTGTGCTTTCATGTGTGCACGACTTCAGTAACCCTAAAATGGTAATATGTCAGCAAGAAAAATAACATCTTTATCCTTCACAAACCGTAAGGAGTTTTTCATTCCTTTGTTCTGTGGTGACTTCTCTTGCTCAACAGTGTGCTTTTCCTCATTGGAGAAAACACTGACCTTTGTCACTCGGGCACCAGCTGCGGCTGCACACCCCACTCCCACACCTGCCGGCAACAGCCGCTGTGTTTCTCTTGCTTTCTGTGTCCAGAGTTTGGGAAGGGCTCCACCGTCCGGTCCTGGCTTGCGGTTAGATGGTCTCTGGACCGGCAGACGTGGCTTCCTGCGCAGCCTCTGGTCTCTGGAGTGGGCTGTTCTGGGCCTCCCGCAGGCACGGCCTTCTGCTCGCCTGGCTGCCCAGGGCTCCCGGCAAACGTCTCAGCACAAGCCAGGTGGCAGCTGAATCGCCGTTAGGACCTCTCCTGGGAAGTCACAGCATGTCACTTATGCTGTTGTCACAGGCCCACCAGATGAGGGAAGGGACGCAGACCCGCCTCTGTGTGGGAGGCATGTGTGGGTCCCCGCATGGGCAGCAGCACATGGGGTGGAGACACTGCAGCACCTTCAGGGAGACTGTCTGCCACGGCCAGTTGTGTGGCCAGTTGTCCTCACAGCGCATGGCACCAAGTAGGGGCTTGGGTGCAGCGTCGTCCTGCAGGCCAGGTGGGCCTTGCGTCCCGTCCCCCACTGGCTCTGTCTCCTCGCCAGCTAGTCTGGTTTTGTTTTCTAGGCCACCCGACCTGGGAGGACCTCCCCCAAGGAAAGCTGTCCTGTCGATGAGTGGCCTCAGTTTTGGCGTGATCCGAGTTGACACTGAAGAGAAGTTGTCAGTTCTTACTGTTCAGGATGTGGGTCAGGTGCTGCCTGGAGGTAAGGGACACAGCTGGAGTGTGTCTTGTCCTGTAAGCAGTTGACATGATGAAACTCCTGGTTGCTCCAGGCCTTGAAGGGGTGCTCTGCAAGCGCACCAGTAAAGAGGTCATTAACAGTGTTTTTTCGTGTAAATTGGGGTTTTAATTTATAATCTGTCTTTTCAGTTTCTGCCTACCTTTGTATTAAATTTAAGGTTGAGCGAAAATACACGGGTGTGTTTGTGGCCTCTGTACCTGACTTGTGGTTCTCCAGCGTCTGGGAAATGGAGCAGTCCCTGTAGGCCAGGTACAGGCTTCGTGCTTCACACGCTGAGGCATCTAACCTCACAGCACGCCAGTGTCTGTAGACAGCCTGATGATTGAGTTATAGCAGCAAGGTGTATGTATTACATTAGGAGCTTGACTCTGAAGCTTCCAGAAAATTCCCCTGGGCTCCAGAAAGGCCTGTGTGAGCCCTCCTGCCTCTTGGGCCCCATGGGCCTGAATGGAGGGTGAGAGAGCGGCCTGCCTGCGGTTCCCCTGCAGTGTCACAGAGGGAACTGATAACTGAGCCTGGCCCAGAAGGCCCTGGTGACAGTTGTGAGTGGGGGGTGCTCTGTTCATGCTGCCCTGGGGTTCCCCTCATTGTGGTGACCTCACAGCTACTCTGCTCTCTTCTTACCATGAAGGCCCATCTGAGGGTCATGGGTAGCTGTCTTGACCACCCTCCCTAGGCATGTGTGTGCACTATGCTTCCCTAGGCATGTGTGTGTGCATAGCACTCCCTACATGTGTATGTGTGTGCGAAGTGCTCCCTGTGAGCGTGTGTGTACAGTGTTCCGTAGGTACATGCATGTGTGTGTACAGTGCTCCCCTAGGAGTGTGTGTGTGCACAGTGTTTCCCTAGGTGTGTGTGTGTGTGCACGTGCGCGCACAGTGCTCCTCTGCGTGTGTGTGTGCCCAGTGCTCCCCTATATCCATGTGTGTGCAGGGCTCCCCAGTCAGCATGTGTTTGCAGGGACAGGTGCAGAGCTGATTGGCCGGTGAGGACTTATGGCACCTTGTTAAGCAGATACTCAGCCTTGCACTGTGTTAGCCCCAAGGGGTTTGTGCTTACCTCCATGTGAAGTGGACTTACGCATGCCTTATTGTGAGAGAATCTGTCTGTGAGCCCTCGGCTCACGGTGACCTGCACACGAGCACCAGCCTCCACTTTACAGAACGTGGTCAGATTTGTGAATGAACAGAAGTAGCTGAGTGAGCGCCCCTTCTCTGTGCTCCTGCTTACCGTCTTTGGAGAGGAGGCTGTACTTGAGTGGAAGGGACGGCAGCGCCCGGGCCACCACAGGCTGCTTAATTCATCACTGAGCGACCGAATTTGTTTTAACGGACCACTGCGCCCTCTGGCATGCACATCGCTCGTCTGTTGGAAGCTGTTTGCGAGCCTGCTCTGTGGCAGGGCCGGCCGGCTGGGGCTTGCGGTGACCCGACAGGCAAGGTCCGCAAGGTCCCAATGCCCAGAACCGGCAGCAGGCAGGATCGTCTGGCGGGGAGCTGCTTACTGACAAGGGAACTACGGGGTCAGCCGGCCTGTCGCGTGGGTTCCAGAGGACCACACGAGGGGCGCGGAACCCTGTCAGCCCGGGCTTATGCGTGCAGGATGCGTTGTGCTCTGGTTACACACTACATGTAAAACACAGATGCGCACCTGGGTAGAGTGGGGATTCTGCACATCCCAGGACTTGTCCTAAGAACACGCTGAGTATATGCTTTGTTTCCATAACTGCAAACGTAGCAGCAAGTAGATCTCTGTGAATGACTCATTTAAGTGTATTTTTTTGTTTATGATTTTGAGGGTTTTTTCTCTTTTTAGCTGATGCGTGTGTTGTGAAAGTAGAAGGTACCCCTTATCTCTGTAAAACTGATGAGGTTGGAGAAATATGTGTCAATTCCAGCGCAACTGGCACAGCGTACTATGGACTGCTTGGAATCACAAAGAGCGTCTTTGAGGTTTGTACCTTGTTGTGACGTTTGCTGGAGTTGGGTTCCATAGGCACTGATGCAGCGCACCAGGCAAGGTGCACGGCTCTCCAGCCGTGATGGGGCCCCGGGCAGCTCCGGGAAGCAGCGCCTGTGTGCTGGAACTGTTGACTTGTTGGGCTGAGTCCAGCGAGTGCCCACTCCTCTGGGCCAGGCACTGGGCACATGGATATAAGGGGTATCAGGAAGGACACAGGCCATGCTGGGTGTGGGAGCCCAAGGAGGGTCTTATCTGCTGGCAGGGACTCCTTCCCCCCAGGGAACCTGCCAGCAAGCAGTGTGTGTGCCAGGCTTCCTGCTTGCCCACTGGGTCTTACTGGCCAGCTCGTTGATTATCCATGGACCACAGCCTGACCATCCCCTCTCTGCTCTGTGCAGACTGTCCCAGTCACAGCAGGAGGAGCCCCTGCGTCTGACAGACCTTTCACCAGGACAGGGCTGCTGGGCTTCATCGGGCCTGTGAGTATGTTCTGCTGCTGGGACCTGGGCCTCCGCACCTAGTGGGTATCTAGGGGTCACAGAATACTCTCCACGTCTCACAGTGCACAGGACAGCAACCACGACAGAGGACTGTCAGCTCAGAATGTTCCCAGTGCCCGTAGGCCCGGTAGCAGTAGGAGTCCTATACAGCTTCACCTCTCCTATGCCGACTCCCCTCCAGATGTCCCCTGGTCCCCAGCCCAGCCCACCAGGCCTCAGGACCCTTCCACCCCATAGTCACCCCTGGGCCATGTGGACCCTGTCTATTCCTTGGTTTCCATGTGCTTTCGGCTGCTTGGAACAGTCATCAGCTGCCTGACCCCCAGGGCCTGCCTGCGTGTCCTGAGTCCTGACCAGCATCCTTGCTTCCAGGATAACCTGGTTTTTGTCGTGGGCAAGCTGGATGGGCTAATGGTGGTTGGATTTCGTAGACACAACGCGGACGACATCGTGGCCACTGCGCTGGCTGTGGAACCCATGAAGTTTGTCTACAGAGGCAGGTGATGCGCTGCGGGTCCCTGTGCTTTGGCTCTAGATCCCTTCTCTACTTAAAGTTTGAGAACTCCATCTTCAGTAGAAGGAAAGCCCAGTGATGTGAATACACAGAACCTAAAACCTCTTGTCCATCAGAAAAACCTGATAAAGAAAAGGATGGTCTTTGCAGCCAGGAGCCCGTTCTGTCCTCACCTCCCACGGTGCTCATGTGGCCCTTTCTGAGGATGAGGCCCACGGAGCACTTGGGTCAGCATCCTAGAACCTAGACACTCAGACCGAAACAGTCAAGTACCAGTTTCTCTGAAATCACCACTGGCCCGAGTCTCTTCTGCTAAGGTTTAGTGACACACACATGGAGGCCCGACCTTGTGCCTGGGATAAGAATCAATTCCGCTTTTCTGAGTGTGTTAGGAAACCCCTTTAAAGATTCCCATTTCTGTTGAGCAAATAAATGGACCTCAGGCCTGGGCAACCGGGAGTGAGGAGAGGAAACCTGTCTGATTCTGTTTGCCTCCTGATCTCTCTGTCCCAGAGGAAGCAGCCCCTTCTCCTGGTTGGCCCACGCAACTGGCTGAAGCTTTTAATTTTTCTTCTCAAGGGGACACTCCTGTTACTCACACTAGGGTACCCCTGAGCCTGGCCAGACCCTGCCTTTAAATACTCCTTAACCCCTTACAGAATTCTGCCGAATAGTGGGCACTGCTGGCCCTTCTCATAGGTCAGGACGACGGGTGTGGGATGACTACCCGGGAGGAACCAGCAGGGCAGGCCCGTATGGGTGCCAGGACATCACAACCTGCCCTCACAGCAGAAACGGGACACTGTTAGTGTGGGGTGGCCCACACTGTTTATGGGCTGGATTAGGGAGGCCACGGGAACCTGGTGGCACCTGGAGGTGAAGGCCGACCTGAGCAGGCCATGCCATCTCGAGTGATTAGTGGGGGTCTGGGCGATTGCATCTGCTGTTGGACAGGGTACCTGCGTGTCTCCACCACCACAACCACCTCGAAATAGAGCCACAGCTGATAGAGTGTGTGCTCTAGGAACAGCATCCCAGGAATGCTGGCATACGAAAGGGGTTCTTGTTCTTAAGCACAAGCACACTCAGTAGAAGAAACAGTAGGATAGATACAGCTGGAGAAGGAAGTGATACGTTGGAAAGTCAGATTAAGGAACTTCTCTAGAAGTAAAGAAATAGAAAGTTGAAAAGAAAAATTAAGAGAGGTGGAGTGAGAGAATGGCTAGAGTCCAGAAAGCAAACCCCAGGGGGGAGAGCACATGCATGGAGGGGAGGCAGCTCACTGAGAAACAGGATTTTGAGTTATTGCTTAACTTTAAGGATGTTTAAGTTATTAAAAGGAATTTTTAAAAATTTATTTATTTATTTTGAGAGTGAGCGAGGCAGGAGGGGCAGAGACAGAGAATCCCAAGCAGGCTCCACACAGTCCTTACAGAGCCTGATGCGGGACTTGAACCCACAAACCATGAGATCATGACCCAAGCCGAAGCCAAGAGTTGGACACTTAACTGACTGAGCCCCCCAGGCACCCCATATAATTCATGATACTTCTAGACAACAATTTCTGCACACGGAAATGTATCACATGTGTTATAATTAAGGAAAATTGTCCATCGAGGTTTTGCTTTCCACCAAAGCCATTTTTGTTTTAATGACTTGGAACTTATTTCAGCCATACTGTATGAGATTAGGGACTGGTCACTTTTTAAATTCTCAACAAGCAGCCGGTTGCTAGATTGGCCTGTAAACACTAGCACTTCCACGTTGTCCAAGCGAGAACGAGTGTCTGAGTCCGGCTCAGTGTCCTTTGCTGGGTGGTCATTTTTGTCCTCGTCTTCCCCCAGGATTGCCGTGTTCTCTGTGACAGTGCTGCACGATGACCGGATCGTGCTTGTGGCTGAGCAGCGGCCTGACGCCTCCGAGGAGGACAGCTTCCAGTGGATGAGCCGCGTGCTGCAGGTGGGCCCAGGCAGCTCGCCGCTTTTGTAGCCTGTGTCTTTCGGAGTCCAGGTGTACGGCTGTCCCCCTCCATTCCTTCAGTGCCTGCCCGCCTGCCCTGGTCTCTAGCTCGCTGTTTGGAGCACTTCTTGTACCCATGCTGAGCAGGCCCATGTGCAGATGCCCCCCACTTGGTCACAGGGTTGACCCACTAAGAATCGTGGCTTCCAGGACCCTCCACCCTGCACTGCCTGCATACAGTGAGCACTAAATAAACATGGGCTTTGTGAGGATGAGAGAACAGCATTTTGAAACTGTGTAATGCTATATGAGGGTTAGTGTGTCCTATAACAGCAGTTCCATACATCTCTCAATTAGGATGATTTAAAGAGAGACTCTTACTTGGATTCACAGCAGGCCATCACCCTGGGAGCTTGTGAGAAATGAGAGCTCGTGCTCCTCCACACCAGTGCTTTTCCCAGCATTTTATTATGAAAATGCCAAACATACAGCAAAGTTGAAAAAGTTGTGCAGGAAATTCCTAATACTCAGTCTTTAGGTTCTGCAGCAATTGACATGTTGTCATGCTTGCTGGTCCCAGTCTGTCCCTTCTATCTGCTCACCAGGGCCACCTTCCCCGGCACTGCACCATGGCACTTATTTCTTAAATACTGAACTGGAGTTCAACATATTTTCTTTGGGGTGAGGGGGTAAAATTTACATCCAGCAAATTGCACCAGCTTTAAAGGTGCCATTCATTGAGGGGTTTTCAGTTGACTTGATTGGATGGAACTTACCATGTAGAATGAGCCCATTTTTAAGTGGGCAGGTTGATGAGTTTTGGCAAAAGTATGCCCCCCAGTAACTACTACATGACGATAATTAAGATGCAGAGTATTTGCATCAGCTAGCGTCCTCTACCTCTACCCCACTGCCTGGCCCAGAGAACAGGCTTTGTGTCTGTCCAGGTGAGTAGCATAGGACTCCCTCCTTCCTTCATAGGTGTTCTCTGTGAAGGAAATCACAGGGTGTTTGCTTTTCTGTCTGGCTTCTTTCCCTCGGCGTGCTTTTGAGATTCCTCTTGTTGTGTGGATCAACTGTTCATCCCTTTTCATTGCTGTGTTGTATTTCTTTGCTTACCTGTTCCCATCTTGATGGACATTTGGGTTGCTAATTTTTGACCATTATGAATAAAAACTGCTATGGGCAATAGTGTACAAATCTTCGGGTGAAATTCACTACTGCCAGTTTTTTAGAGACGTTCTCTGCTGTCCTGCCCTCTCCAGGTCACGTGTGGAGTTGTTGAGTGGCATTGTTACATGGGGTTGCTGCATGGGGCTGTGTGGAGTTGGTGCATGGCGTTGTGTGGCGTTGTGTGGAGTTGTGCGGAGTTGCATGAGGCTCCATGGCCACCTGAGAAAGGATGCTTGTATGAAAGAGGCACAGTCCACAGGGCACATAAGCCATGGATCTCGTTCCTCCCACACTGAAGATTGCAGACATGGGCAACTCCCAGCAGTCACTCATGTGCCTCAGGCCACACCGAGCACCGCAGCCTCAAAATAACAGTCTCCACACTACCTCTAAGCCGTGAGATCTCCAAGAGCAGCTTAACATGTGTTTGTAATTCTTTTTGCCCATAGGGCATATCTCACACGGGTGGGCTAATCAAATTATCATGTTTAAATAAGTAGATTCTCTCTATGGGGCTTTGCCACCCACCTAATTCCAGTTTGGCTGAGTTCATTTGTTTTACGTTACTTTCAGTCATTGGGGAATGCTTTCTAAAATGTCAAGTTTTTTGTAAGTAAAATATATACGTGGCTCCGAAGTCAGATCTGAACGCCAGGGATTTTCAGAGAAGTCCGCTTCTGCCCCTCACAGCTTCTCTAACTTTCCTTCTTTAACATAAGCAGTTCCAGATTTAAGTATATGCGTATGTATATGTGTGTTACATGATAGGAAATGTTCACACATCTTTCCATGTTTTCTTATTGAACAGAATGTCTCAGAGGTCACTGCCTCTTTCACCTTTGGATTTACATGTTCTCACCCATCTCACAAGCCTTCCGGCTTCTCGAGAGCGTTGAGTGGGTCAGCAGGTGCTCAAATGCAGCTGTATGTGTGCCAGGTCTCAGCCACAGAACCTCCTCACTTGTGTTACCTTCCCTTCCAGGCCATCGACAGCATCCACCAGGTGGGCGTGTACTGTCTGGCCCTGGTTCCTGCCAACACCTTGCCCAAGGCTCCGCTCGGAGGGATTCACATTTCTGAAACCAAGCAGAGGTTTCTGGAGGGGATGCTGCACCCATGTAATGTACTAATGTGCCCTCACACCTGTGTCACCAACCTCCCCAAGCCTCGCCAGAAACAACCAGGTTAGTTGTATATAACAATCCTCGTCTAGTCAGTCTTAATATTGGTGGCTGCCACACTCTTGGTAAATGGTACAGCCCTCTTGGGCCCCACACCTCTGGGGCTGGGGTTAAGAGCCACAGTGAGTGGCACTTCAGGTCGGTCGCCACCTCCCACCTCCCTGGACCCAAGGCACAGATGAGAACACATTGTCACGTCACCCGTGTAGTGTGATGGTTTTCACATGCCTGTTGGAACCCATCTGAGTGACTAATGACATCTTAGACTTGGAAGGCGAGGTGGTGAGTCTCTGGAAGTTGAAGTGACGCCCAAGAGCAGGCCTTGAGCTCAGAGATAGAAGGACCCTCCACAGTACTGGGGGGCTGCCAGCCGTGCCAAGGCTGTGGGGGCCAAGGGACAGGTGCTGCACCCCGTGGCTGGTGAGGCCCAAATGGCCACTCTCCTGTTCCTCATTTCACACATTTAAAAACTAATTTTAAAGTCTGCCTTGACTGTTATTTTTGTTCCTTTGGTTATGTAAATTTTTAGTAAATGTTAATAACTTTTATTGATTATTGAACAAATATATCTACCCAGGAAGATTTAATGTCCTGTTTCATATGTAAAGGGTAGTAAAACAATGCAGTCTATTAAAACATTCCACTATGGCTGAGGTCAAATCTACCCCTAGGTTTATGCCGTTTGGTAAGTTTCTCAGCCTGGCATTGCTTGTATTTGGGAGATTCTCTTCATTATTTACCATAAACCTTGTGGCTGGTTTCCTGAGCATCTGTATCTTAGTGAAAAGTGAAATGTACAGTCACATGGCAGTTCTGTGCCAGAGCCGGCGCCTTCTCACCCAGAGTCTCCGCCCCTCTTTCCCAGAGGTTGGACCAGCCTCCATGATCGTTGGGAACCTGGTTGCTGGGAAGAGAATCGCACAGGCCTCGGGAAGGGAGCTGGCTCACCTGGAAGACAGCGACCAGGCGAGAAAGGTAACGGCCAGTGGCCAGTGCCTGGGAACGTGAGGCGGGTGCCTCCCCCCGAGGCTGCAGACTGATGGACCCCTCCACACAGTTCCTGTTCCTGCCTGATGTGCTGCAGTGGCGGGCACACACCACCCCTGATCACCCGCTGTTCCTGCTGCTCAATGCCAAGGTAGGCCGCCTGTGCCCATCCCCCCCGCTCCCGGGCTCTGTCCCCAGGGTCCCTGCCCGGAGAACAGGGTGCTGCCAGGCCATCCTCTCCGCATACGGGGCTCTTTGTGGAGCACTCAGCTGTCACATGATTCACGCAGTAACATTTGAAACACATCTTGTATTTAAGAGAAAAATTCTCGTTAGCTCCTTTCTTAATTATGAATAGTATGCTTGTAAATGAGCAAATGTTTATTTTGTAAAAATTAGGAATTTAGACTTTTTTGTTTATAGATTTAACATGGCAAAGACTGCTTACTGCCCTGATCCTGGTATAGATTCAGAAATTCAGTGAGAGTATTTTGGGCACCTTTTGATGTGATTACACTGTACCCAGAGTTCTTAGGACAGGAAGGGGAGGCTGTAACTCTCACATCCAGTGTGTGGGCCAGTAGACAAAATAGAGAGACATGACAAGTTAAATAACAATAAAAATCGTGCCTCAGATGCATCACACAAGCCACCACATAGGCCGTAAGAACATGTGTACTTTGACACAGTAAAGGGCAGGTTACTGTGCTCTTAGAAAATGCTGGTCCAGCTTTTGTTTCTGCTCATTACCACCTACTGTCTCTTCATCCAAAAAATATTTATTGACAACTGCCAAGTTACACGGTGCTAAATAGGAGGAAAGGGGCACCTGCTCTCAGGATGCTCGAAGTGAGTCTTCCCTGCTCGAAAGCCAGTCCATAAGAGAGACTCTATGTTCCTTGTTTCCTGTGTATCTGCAGATCTAGAACAGCGTTCAGTTAACAATTATTTTATGACTGATTGAGTTCTTAAGCATGGAGACAGGGGGGCCTGGGTGGCTCAGTCAGTTAAGCATCTGATTTAGGCTCAGGTCATGATCTCACGTTTGTGGGTTTGAGCCCCACGTCAGGCTCTGTGCTGACAGCTCAGAGCCTGGAGCTGCTTCAGATTCTGTGTCTCCCTCTCTGACCCTCCCCTGCTCACACTGTCTCTCTCTCTCTCTCTCTCTCTCAGAAATAAATAAAACATTTAAAAAATGTTTTTAAATAATAAAAAAAAAAAAAGCATGGAGACAACCAATAATTAACAATTATTGATGGAGTCCAGGCCCAGACACGAGGTGGCAGCTCAGAGGAGGAGAGACATGCCCTCATGTGGTGTGTGGTCTGAGCACCTGAGCACAGGGAGTGCTTTTCAAGGGAGGAGGGCCGCAGGGTGGGGGCCACACAGAGGGACTCGCCAGGCATATGTGTGGAGGGGTTGGCCATCTTTAAAGCCAAGGGAGAGCTCAGGAGGAGGCAGCAGAAGACTGGCCCTGGCCTTCTCCAAATCCATTCCAGACTTTCCTCAAGGTCACTAGTAAAACTGCATTTCTTTTGGTTTGTCAGCCTTTTTCAGGTTTGAGTTGTCCTTGGGTCCCTGAGAACATGGTGGCTTTTAACCCAGGAGCAGGCCTGTGGCTTTCAAGTGGTTGTCCAAGGGGACTGGCGGGCTCTGGATGTCTGGGCTCCCGGTATCTGCCTGGTGCTGACACCCTGCACCTCGGCTTGGGGTGGGAGGAGCGAGCCTGGCCCCCCTGCGTGAAGCCTCGAGGGCCTGCGTGCCTGGCTCTGCATACACACACATTGGCCTGTGCAGTGGAAGGACCAGTCGAGGAGAAGCCAGGGGTTCCCACTCAAGCTGGTCTGTTCTGGGGCATTATGTTTAGATCGAGCTGCTCTGTTACTCTTCTTAAGAAGGACTAAACGAGCTGTGAGGCCGGCCTGCCTCTGGTCAGCCGAGGGAAGGAAACATTTGCTGGGAGCTGGTCTGCGGCCCGGCTGTCCTCAGCAGACACGTGAAGTGAGCAAGGGAGCCCGTGCGGCCGGTGCAGGGGTGATCCAGCCAGGCACCCCCCGAGGTGCAGACCCGCTGACCTGGGGGATGGGAGCTTTAACATGCATGACCGTGGAGCTTATGGATGTTTGCTCATTTAATGTGATTACTGTGCGTGTTTATATTCAGGGTAATGGCTGTTTCTGGGCGGGGAGAGGATGAATTGAGGGTGGTATGCAGAGTGGTGATGACTTGTTTTTAAAAAAGAGAAATTTAAACAATGAGGCAAAATATTATTAGGTAATGAGAACTTGGATGTTTATGGCATTATTCTTTATAATGTTGTTATGTTTAAGATATTTTATAAAAAAAGGCCAAAGAGTTCTCTTTAGTGGCTGTGTCTCTGACTATCCTGGACAAGGGGCAGCTTGCGCACTGCTCCAGGCTCTGCTGGGACGCTCGCGGCTCGTGTCTTCACTGCGGCCAAAGCGCCGCCTTTGGCAGGACCTCCTCAAATGATGGGGAAAGACAGCGGATATGTCTGTAGGATTGGCATGGGTCCCGGTCCCTGACCACAGGGCTTCCGGGGACAGGGTGTGCGCAGTGTGAGCACACGCCCTGCCCCTCCAGCTCTGCTCAGCCAGGGACTGCGTTCCTAGGGCACCGTCACCAGCACTGCAACCTGTGTCCAGCTGCACAAGAGAGCTGAAAGGGTTGCTGCCGCCCTGATGGAGAAGGCACGACTGAGCGTCGGGGACCATGTGGCTTTAGTCTACCCTCCAGGTAAGCACGCCGGGATGCCTGGTGCACATGCCACTTCCCTCCGCTCTGCGTTCACTGGGACTCTGTTATTACAGAGCAGACACCCTCATAACCTCCAGCACGTCAGAAAATAGGTCTTGGCCAGGCGCCGGGGTGTCCCTAGCATTCCCTGTCCTGAGCATGACCTCCTGCGCTCTCCCAGGAGCAGCCTGTGCCCCTGGTGTGTGGTCACTTCTCCCGGCACCCTGCACATCAGCTCCATCTCCCAGTTTCCTTTGAATTCAGTATGTGTTTAAAGTCTGCATGGCCGCCTGGGTGGCTCAGTTGGTTAAGCGTCCAGCTTCGGATCAGGTCATCATCTTGCGATTCGTGGGTTCAAGGCCCACATCAGGCTCTGTGCTGACAGCTCAGAGCCTAGAGTCTGCTTTGGATTCTTTGTCTCCCTCTTTCTCTGACCCTCCCCTGCTTACACTGTCTCTCCCTCTTTCTCTCAGAAATAAATAAAAACATTTAAAAAATAAATAAATAAGTAAATAAAAATAAATCTCCCTTTTCCCTGTCCTTACAATTTATCTACTGAAGACCCGGTCTGACCCTGCAGAGGCCCCGTGGCCCAGACGCTGCCCAGTGCATGCTCAGGTACAAGCAGCATGTTCTTGACCCTGTGTTTCCAGCAGGCTGGCAGCTACATCCTGGCCCTGGGTCCCACTGAGGTCCAGGGTCTCTGCCAAGACTGTAAGTGCCCATGTTGGCTGTGTCTCCTTTGGTGGCGTTATTACCACTGACTGATGCTTCAGTGCTTAACATTCATTAATCCTTTAAGGGTCACAAAACAGTGATACTCTAATTCTTTCGTTTCTTTTTCGTTTATTGGCCACAGAACTAATACACAGAAACCTCCCCCTTCATCTAGTATTTGGTGTTAGAATTCATGTGTTGATTCTTTCCTTCTATTGGTCCTTTATGAAATGAATTTTGTTTCCTATCACACTCCAAAGGTGACCAAGCAACGAATTTAAAAATACATACATATGAATATGAACTCACAGACTTAAATATAGTTGTTGGGTTTCATCCTTATCAAAGTTCAGTTCTGCCATATTTGCCCAATAGAAGCCTTTCCTGGCTGGCTTATCACGTGCCACTAGTCCCTGACTGCTTCCTCGTGTCTCTTGTGACAAGGTGCTCCAAACCCCCTTAGTGCCCATCCTACCCCAGACCTAGGATCAGCCATTTCTCTGCAGAGCCCGCTGTGTTCCCAGAACAAAATCTGGGCATGAGGGATGCCGATTTCTCCTGGATTGGCTGCTGTTTGGTGGCGCTGTCAGTGAGCCGAGCTCGGAACTATAAATAAATGGGTCTTCAGAGAGGCACTGCCTTCTGAGTTCATAGTATTACATCCCATTCAAATCCAGGATCATAGGACTTTCGGCAAACCTCGCCTACCGCATATCTCCTTTTTTCCACACCAAGAGTCCTGCTTCTGACGAGCAGGGAGGTGACAGAACTCAGATACCCCGTGACGACTCCGCTGTGTAGCCCTGCGCCACGTGCGGTACTCTCAGGGTGACTGCACAAATGCTGTAACCACCAAAATGAATTTTGAAAACAGTTTACAAGGTTTGCACCTGCTTTTTTGCCTTCCTCTCACTCCCTGCTGCTTGTGTGTGCTGTCAGGGACGGCCGCTACAAATTCAGCCTCTCTTTTCTTACCCTCGTTTGTGATGAGGGTTTGGAGTGAGGGTGGGGGTGTGGATCTGGAACCGAAGGCCAAGAAAGAATTCTTGAGATGTCTTTGGTGCAAAAAGGTGATTTTATTAAAATAGAACAAGACCTGTGGTTACTTTCTATGGAGTTGGGGAGGTAAAGCCAGAGGCCTTTACCTGGAGGCCTCCAGAAGGACTTTGATATGCTAAAGAGGACTCCTGAGATACTCCTGAGGCCTGGCTCCTGTCCAATTAAGGTTGTTTTCCTCTAGTAAGGCCTTAACATCAGGGCCTTAGGCTGTTCCTGGAGAAACTACACTCTGTATTTGCCTCTCGCATCTGTCAATGGGCTGCGGGTTTTGAGGAAATTTCATTTTATCTGCCAGTTTCCTTCTTGCCTTTGTTCCTCACATCACTATGGAGGGGAGGGTGATGTTGGGGCTCCAGTCTACAGGTTTCTGGAGATTAGGCTTTTGATAAGATGGCCTTTTTCTTGTAATTTAGTAAGATATTTGTAAACTGATGGAGACCCATGTCCTGCATGACTGTGATCTCTCTCAGTTAACCATTGGTCTTCCCCTTTCCTTTGTCCTCGGGCAACCCGGAGTGCCCAGTGCCCGAGGAATGTCACACTTGGCCCGCCTGGGGGCGGTTTGGGGTGTCAGCCTGCCTCATGCTCCCTCATCCCCTGTGGCAGCCTGTTCTCTCCCGGCACAAGTGCATGCTAACGTGAATACGCCTAAACCCACAGGCATCAAATTCTTTCTCCTCTTTTCATTCCCTGGAGTGTAGGGGTGCTTTTCTCCAGGGTGACTGCAGTCCCCACTCTTGAAGTAGCCCTGGTTTCATGTCTATGCCAGACTCTATAGCATGTCAGTGTAAGGCAAGCTGGTGCTCTCTCCTGCCCCCAGCTGTCTACACCACACCCTCTACAAAGGTAGTGCCACGCCCCTGGGCTCAGGGCTGGAGCTGTACAGCATGCAGGAGTGCTCACACAGGGAAGGCCTGAGCTAACGGGGAAATGCCTTGCATGCTTCTCTTTTTTTTCCTTTAGTTTATTTATTTTAGAGCGGGAGAGAGAATCCCAAGCGGGCTCTGCAGTGTCAGCACAGCTGGAACTCACGGACTGTGAGATAATGACCTGAGCCTAAATCAAGAGTCAGTCATAATCATGGCTTCCCCATAAGCCATTTTTAACAACAAAAAAGAAAATGTATGCTGAAGGTCTAAATTTATATTTTATTTTTTTTTGATTAAAAAACTCTTTAATGTCTATATTTGAGAGATAGAGCGAGAGAGAACACAAGTGGGTGTGAGGGGAGTAGAGGCAGAGAGCCAGGAGAGCGGAATCTGAAGCAGCTCCAGGCTCCAAGCTGTCAGCACAGAGCCTGATGCAGGGCTCAAACCCACAAGCTGTGAGACCGTGACCTGTGACCTGAGCTGATGGTTAAGGCTGGGGCACCTAGCCACCCCGAAATTTACATAAATTTACATTTCATAAACTTATCTGGCAGGTGGAGAGTTTAAGAGCTGAGGACTGAGCTGTGGTCTCAGCTGGGAGGCCCAGAACCCCGCCTTGGGTGCAGATATTTTGCAAATGCCACAGGCACGTGTGTTGTGTATTACTTGGGGGTGAAGAGGGAGTCCGAGACTTTCTTCCAATTTTCAAAAGGATGTGAGATCCAAGGGATTAAGAACCCGTGCTCTCTGGAAGCTGCAGAAGAGTTGGGTGCTGGTGGGATTGGATTCTCCCTACCTGTTCACCTGGTGATTCCTAGGACAGGAGGAACAGCATGAGTTTTGTGAACTCAAGGAAATGAGCTCCTGGCCACATCCCTCTTGTGTGCTGTGTCGGGCAGGGACCGCACACGCATGGTGCCCTGGCCTGCTGCGTGCCGGCACCTGCTGTCCCTTCACTCGGTGCTCCTGGCTGCCCTGCGGCCCAGCGCAGATGGCTGGTCCTGTGGCAGCGGTGCCGAGGAGCCAGCTCGACCCCAGGTGTGCTGAGCTGTCCTTGGTGCAGCGTCACTCTATTAATTCCGCTGGAGCACTGGGAACTCGTAATCCGGTGAAGCCCACCAGCCAGGTTACAGCTGGCGTATTTATTTTGACTCTGGAATTGAAATAGCTTGAGGCTGACAAGTGGGGTCTGGTGTGCTCTGAGGGGCAGCGTCTAGAGGGGCCTCCACGGTTGGGGGGAGGGAGCATGCGTCTCATATCGGACTGAGTTCAGGGCAGAAATACAGGTTTTAAGTGTGGCATAATTCCCCCTAAGTTTTAAATATGAGAAAGTTTAAACATTTGGAAATTGGAAGGAACATTTTGGTGGTCGTGTGTTATGATGTACGGTTGAGAGCAAGACGCATGGCCCCGGACACATGCACTTGGGGGGGAGGGGGCGCAGCCCTGGTGTTCCCAGTTCTCCACAGACCCCTGCCTGTATTGCCCACCTTCTCCTCCTGGGGGGGACCCCTGCCTCCTCCTCCTCCTCACCTTCTGCTGGCAGGGGTGGACCCCTCCCGTGTTGCCCTCCTTTTCCAAGCTGGGCAGCCTGCCCCTCAGAAGGGTTCCTTTCAGCCCTTGCTCACCTACCTTGCGCTTGGCCCCGGCACACAGGAATGGCAGGCAGGGTGCTGCTGACACACAGGGTGTCCTCTGTGCCATGGGCACCCCCCATCGTCTCCCCAGCCTCTCAGGACAGTTCTCTCTGCATCCCTAACAGCACTGAGTTCAACACATACTGATGCCGGCAGGCCGGGTCTCGGGACGCCAAGGGGGTCACACAGGACCAGCCGAGAGGCCCCCTGGTTGTGCACAGGACAGAGATCGAGTGCAGGGAGGCAGGGGTGACAGGAGAGTTTATTGAGGATATAGAGGGAATGCAGGTACATACAGTGTCTTCTGGGAATCAGAAAGGAAAGGAGAGTCCTGTCTTCTTTGGGATCTGGGTGGTCTTACTGAGCATGGCGGTCCCATGCATGTGTCCTCTCAGGCATCCAGGAGCTGCTTAGAACAAAGACGAGAGCCCAAGTGTTACTTCTTGGAGCCAGGGGCCCTGGGTGTCCACGTGTCTAGCGCCCGTGGTCTAGAATATGCATATGATGGCTTCCTCCAGTCATTCTCACCTGGTCCTTCCTTGGATGTGATCTGTTCTGGAGAAATCACTAACTCCTTGTCTGTACAGGGAAGATACACTTTGCATTCTGAGCCATGTATAAAGTGGGGGCGCAGAGCCTAGCCAGGATAGAAGCAGGAAAAGGAGCAAAAAGCAGATTTTTACGGAGTCCTTCAGTTTCCCTGTCTCAATACTGTATTAGTTTAGAGAAGTTGTGGTTGACCCACACAGCGCATGACCAAGACCCTGCATCACCTGCTTGCCATTCCATGCTACGAGGCACTGTGAGCCACGTTCCACCCTGCACTGACCCTCTCTGACCACGTGTCTTCCCAGGGGTGGACCTCATTGCTGCCTTCTATGGCTGTCTGTACTGCGGCTGTGTGCCTGTCACTGTGCGGCCCCCACACCCCCAGAACCTGGCCACCACGCTTCCCACCGTCAAGATGATCGTAGAGGTATCTGTGCGCCCTGGACGGCCAGGCAGGCCTGGTGGGAGGGCCCTTGTTCTGGTAGACCGTGGTCTCCTCTCCCTACGAGTGTCATCTCCCCCAGGCCCTGCGTCTCACTCCCGCCTTCAACCCCTGTGCTCTGCAGGTCAGCAAGTCTGCTTGCGTCCTCACCACACAGGCCATTATGCGGCTGCTCAAGTCCAAAGATGCAGCGGCTGCCGTGGATGTCAGGACCTGGCCAACCATTCTAGATACAGGTACCTGTCCTCAGCACCGCTGGTTGTGTGCTGGCCCTGCCAGGACACACCGCCTCTCCTTTCTTTGTTGTAGGAATTGCATCGTTGCCGCCGAAATGTAAAAGCTGGTAAGAGCAGCTGAAGTAAATGGTGAGGAGGCTGCTAGAAGGGCCCTTGCCGCTGGGTTGCTCGCAGCTCGCCTCCTGGTTTCACTCGCGGTGGGGCCTCTGAACCGGCGGGGAGCAAAGATCCTTATCCGAAGCCTGTGTGCCTGCAGACCACCCCTGTCCTCACTGCTCTCATGCCTGTACAGCAGTCAGTGGTTGTGAGGACACATGTCCCACAGCACACACACATCTGTCCTTTGTCCCCGCCCCACGAAATGCTTGTGGGCCAGCCAAGAAGGCCGTAAACCCCAGAACCACTGTGCCTCGGACCCTGATACTCTCAGCCCCTCCCCATCGAGACACCCCAAACTAGTAGCACCCACAGGCTTTGTTGGTGACTTGAGGTGCTGGCCATTGAGTAGGCAGGAGTCCCTCCTTCCCTGTCGCACCTGGCAGGCACCTGTCCACGCTCTCCAGGGCAAGAGGTCAGGGACTGTGTTGTCTGTGGCCACCTGCCCAGTACCCATCTACAGGCACGGGTGGCTAGCTGGTCCAGGGCAGCTGATGTGGGGCGGGGGTGGGCTTAGGAGCAGACTGGCTCCAGAGAGTTCCATTGCTTCACCAGCTTGCTGCGAGGTGGGTGGGCCCCAGCCCTTGCCTCACTCGTTTCTACCTACCTCACCATCTCATAGAAACGATGAAGCACAGTAGCCCTGAGAACCGGTCCCTAGTGCTCTCTGCGGTCAGAGTTCTTGTTAACGTTGGCTCTGCCCCAGCCTCTGAACTCTCCCACTGGTGGATGAAGCGGCTTCCCGTGCCGCTCGTATGACTTGCCTGCCCTCTGTGTCCCCCTCCCCCGCTTCCCCACACATTCAAAGTGGTCATGGTGGGTCTGTTCCACATGACATTTCCCTGAAGGTTAAAAAGAGCTTCCCCGTGTACCCACATGGCCTGCTGTCTCGAGGCCTCCCTGTGCTCTGCACTCGCTCTCCCCAGGACTCCCCAGGTATGAATCCTGTGTTCTTTCTCCCTATGAGAGCCTGAAGTAGCACTGACCTGTGTCTCCCGTCCAATAGATGACATACCGAGAAAGAAGGTGGCTAGCATTTTCAGGCCGCCGTCCCCAGACCTGCTCGCATACTTGGATTTCAGCGTATCAACTACGGGCATATTAGCAGGTGTGAAGGTGAGCCCTCTGACCATAGCTCTAACTTGCTTCAGCCTCTGATGGGGTGGGCGGAGAGGAGGGTGGGTGAGGGGTTATGCAGGTCCTCACTCATATCCAGAGCTTGAAGCAACATTGTTGTTCCTTGAAGTTTGTGTTAAATACCAGTAAACCCCCAAAATTAGGTTAGCCTGGGAACAGTGCATATTTTGATGTTCTTTGGTAACATCTAAACTGAGATTTCTGACTGTCTTTGGGAGCAGGTAGCTTTGATGAGTCTGTCTCCTTACCAGGAGGCGAGAGCTCCATTAAAATTTTTTGTCATTCTGAAATCTCATTTAGAAGATTTTTAGTGTGCAATTTCCTATACATTATTTGGTTTGTATGGAGAACTAAATGTGTCTGGCGGCTGTGGTCCAGCAGGCACTGTTCAGTGTCTCCCTCACATCACTGACCAGAACTTTCATCGTACTTCAGATGTCACACGCAGCCACAAGTGCCTTGTGCCGCTCCATAAAGCTACAGTGTGAGCTGTACCCCTCGAGGCAGATCGCCATCTGCCTTGACCCCTACTGCGGCCTCGGCTTCGCCCTGTGGTGTCTGTGCAGGTGAGTGTGCAGGTGGTGTGCAAGTCATTGGTGCAGGTGAGTGTGCAGGTGAGTGCTGCAGGTGGTGTACAAGTGTTGCAGGTGAGTGTGCAGGTGTGTGCAAGCCCGTGCTGCAGGTGGTGTGTAGGTGAGTGTGCAGGTGGTGCGCAATTCAGTGCTGCAGGTGAATGTGCAGGTAAGTGTGCAGGTCAGTGCTGCAAATGTGTGCAGGTGAGTGTGCAGGTGAGTGTTGCAGGTGGTGTGCAGCTGAGTATTGCAAGTGAGTGTACACGTGAGTGGTGCAGGTTTGTGCAGGTGAGTGTGTGGGTGTGTGCAGCTGAGTGTTGCAGGTGAGTACGCAGGCGAATGTGCAGGTACCACGCTCACCTGCAGGGCTAGAATTGCTTGTGTCAGTCTTTGGAGCCTTAACGTTCATTTTTGATGCCCAGGGAGCCTAAGATACACATGTGAGGAGGTTTGTTTGGGGATGAGAAGGATTGGAGGCTGAGTCTGAAATTGAGTAAGAGTAAAAATACATTTTTCATTAAATATAAACAGTATCCATTACTAGTAATGGGGAAGAGACTACTTACTCTCATCAAATACTAGGAAGTAGTGACAGATCTTTGGAAGAAGAAAGCCAGAGTCTCCAGCTGGTGGACCCTGACCCGAATTTGTGACCCTGGATCCTTCTGAGGTGCCTGGACGGAGACTAGACCCGCTCTGTGTCACCCCTGCTCCCCATAGTACTTCCTATCGAAACATCCACTTGACATTAGGGCAGAATTGTGTCCTGTTCTGGCTAGAAAAAAAGTGTCCTAGGAGGGGAGACCGAAGTGGGTGCCCCAGGCCCTTCTGGCACAGGTGGACCGGGCATCCCTGAGGCTCCCGGGCTGCAGACTAACACAGAGCCGCGCCACAGCTGTCCTGACTCTCCCTGCGCCCTCTCTCACAGCGTCTACTCCGGACACCAGTCGGTCCTGGTGCCCCCGCTGGAGCTAGAGAGCAACGTGTCCCTGTGGCTGTCAGCCGTCAGCCAGTACAAGGCCCGCGTCACCTTCTGCTCCTACTCCGTGATGGAAATGTGCACCAAGGGCCTGGGCGCGCAGACCGGCGTCCTCAGGGTGAGTGTCCAGCCCTGCCTGCCACCGAGGCCTGCCCAGCACCTTGCTTTCCTTCGTCTCAAAGTGCCCAAACCAGGGGCTCCGCGTTGGTTCTGAACTGGGCCCCTGGGAACCTTTAAAGTAGATCCCAAGATCTGTTCACGCTGTTTGTGGAAATGGAAAACCCTTTCCAGGAGTTGAACTGCACTGGCTCCATGTGCCCTCTTCCCTACACCCCTAGAGGTCACTTCCTTCATCCGCACACCCCACACAGCAGAGGAGGGTGTGAGACCCAGGCAGAGGTGCCGGGGTTGTGGGGAAAGGCGCAATACTAGCTCGGAGCAGCACACCTCAGGGTCCCTGGGGCCTGGGGTGTAGCCAGAGCTGTGTGCAGTGGCGGGAACCTCCTGGATGCCAGGAGTGGGTGTGGGGAGGGCACCCAGGGGTGGGCAGTCTCCAGTGCATCCATAGTTAGGACCCTGAGGAATGGGACCAGCTGGGAGGCGGGGTTTGCATCTCACTTGCCCTGGGTCTCTGGGACTAACCTCCCCTGTCCCCTCCTCCCCAACGCCCGTCCGCCTGCAGACGAAGGGGGTGAACCTGTCCTGCGTCCGCACCTGCATGGTGGTGGCTGAGGAGCGGCCCAGGATCGCGCTCACACAGTCCTTCTCCAAGCTGTTCAAGGACCTGGGGCTGCCAGCGCGCGCTGTGAGCACCACGTTCGGGTGCAGGGTCAACGTGGCCATCTGCCTCCAGGTAAGGCCTGCCCCGGGCCTCCCGCTGCCCTCGCCCTCCGTGCGTTCGCTGTCCTGCCCTGCTTGCCCTCTGAGCGCTTGGTGTTTCACCTACATGTGACCAGTAGGCTTTGTGAGCCGGAAGCTGTGTTTTAAAAGATGTTCTAGTCTCGTTGATGAATAAAGGCTTGCCTGGAAACAACTCAAGTTGTTCTTGAGCAGTGACTATTAACTTTTGGGGGAAATCTCAAAGGCTACAACATGTAGCTTATTTTTTAAAGCGAGATAAACTTATTAAGACAGCAATTTTAAATTGAAACATTAATTAATGTGATTTGTCTTGCCCCAAGTTAATTTTTGAAACATGAAGGTATTTTACATATTAAAAGGAAACACAAAGTTTTAGAAATTGAATAGCTCACTATAGTGCTGTTTACTCCTTCTTCAGATGACTGGCTATTTTCCAGATTTGGTGCTAGTATCTCCATTTCACTTCTTTCTAAAAACATACTGAATGCCTTACTCCACGAAGTGGTTCGGGAACCACAGGGCAGAAGAGGCATCACCGGAGCCAGCGCGGGCCCAGGTCCTGGGCTGTTGCGTAGCTTCCAGAGCCTTTGCTCAGCCCTGGTCCTCGGCCCACGACACAGCTGCCAGGCGCAGGGCAGGTTTTACATGCAGATACTGCCCTGTTTTCCGGGCATTCCTGCTGCTGTCCTCTCAGCCTGGAAGACTGCTGGCCTCTCCAAGCCACAGACCCTTGCTGTGCGGCAGGAAGAGGTGGGCCAGGGTCCCCTCCTAATGTCCCTCCCTAGTATAGAAAGTACAGCTGAGCATCGGGCTGCTGATGCATCGTTAGTGGCTATAAGTGAAGACCTTACCCTCTGCTCAGCATTTACTCAATATTTGAAGGTGTCTGTTCTATTATCAGCACGTGGGATGCCACATATGATTGCAAAAATCTTAATGGGTTGTTCACGTTTGTACTTTGAGATGCAGTGACGTATTTTGCTTTCTCTTACCGTGTGTTTCTCACGTGGCCTGTTGCTTTCTGTTTGTGTTTCCTGTGGCTGTCTCCTCCCTGTCTCGCTCTGCTGGCCTTCTTTGCCTCTGTCAGCCCAACAGGCTGGGAAAGCTGGCTGAGCAGGTATGACCTTGACCTCAACCTCAAGGCACCTCTGTGCTTCCCCCATGAGTTTATGTGACCTTCTTGTGAGTTCCAGACAAATATATGTTTCTTTTGCTGTCTGATTTTGCTCACAGTGGATATTATTGACATGTTATAAAAGCTCCCTTGAAACCAAATATAAGAGCAAAGCTATTTTCAAAAGAATTTAATAGTCCTAGAGTTACCTCTGGAGGAAGGTCAGTGTTTGGTCTCAAAGAGGCATTTTTGTTTTAATTCCAGGGCAGACATAGGTTACAGTGTCTGGCATCTTCAGACAGTGATATTGAGCAGAGTGTCCATTTAACTCGACACTCCTTATCGATTAAATAGAACATATAACATCGTCAGCAGGACCAGTGTCCACGTGTCCGATGAGAGGAGAGCAGGGAGACATCCTTTGGTCCAGTCCACGAGAGAGACTGTGCCATACTCAGCCCTCAGGAGAATGCAGTCAGCTGGCAAGAGCCCAGGCCTGATCTGACGGCTGGTGAAAAAGCCTTCCAAAACCTATGGTGGTGTTTTTACCAAGCACAGAGAATAGGGACGAGCGGGAACAGAAAGCTGTTAGAACAGACATGTAAAATTGTAGGATTTGAGTTTTCCATTCAGTGTTATTGAACAAGTCTCTCAGTGTTGTCAAGCCACGTAGATGTTTGGACAGAAGTCATCCATGCCCTGGGCATGCTCAGTGCCGCGAGCAGAGCCACCGCCTTCCTGGGCGTCCCCTGAGGGCCAGCCCAGGGGGAGCTGTCACATGTGTAGATGCGGACGCGCTCCTGAAAACGAGATGAAGGGAAGGTCCTCCGCTGCTCTCCTTTCCAGGGCACGGCCGGCCCGGACCCCACCACCGTCTACGTGGACATGAGGGCACTACGCCATGACAGGTGAGGGCCTACCACACCCACGGGCGACGTTCTGCAGGCGGGGTCTGCCCTGCCCAGACCTCCCACGCCTTGGCATTGCCAGCTGTCTGGCTGAGTCCACCGGGGGAGCCTGGGCTTCTTTCTCCCTTGTGTCAGCTCAGCTCAGGCAGCAACCCTGTAGCTGTTCCCACGGCCGGGAGGGATGGTGTCAGGTGCGAACTCTTGGCCTGTCTTCTCATGGGACAGAAAACAGGTAAACCAGCCAAGCCAAGGGTGTTTTCCACATGACACCATTTTAAGATAAGACTTAGTTTTCACATCGGCAAATGTGCCCTGGGGGCCATGGTATGCACCTGTGGGTCTGGGTCCCGCCCAGCTCTGAAGCTTGATCCTGGCTCTGGATCCTCAACCGTGACCACGCTGCAGCTTGAGGTAAACAGTGGTGGGGCTTCCTCGGGTGGGGCCAGCTGGGCCAGGGAGGGCCCCAAAGAAACCTAGAGCAAGCCCCTGCCCTGATGGTGGCACGTAAGCAGGGCAGTTGGAGCTGGTGCACGTGGAGCTGGTGGTCACTGCTCCAAGGTCACAGCAAGGTCGTAAGCAAAAGTCCGGAGGCGTGGTGTTGTCTACAGACTGACCGTTACAGTTTCTGATTACATTTCCCTTGTTAATTTTTAGGGTGCGTTTGGTAGAACGGGGTTCTCCTCACAGTCTGCCATTGACGGAGTCTGGAAAGGTAGCAGAAGCTGGGACTTACACCCAGGTCCTTTCTTACGTTAGCACCTGGCGGGTGCCAATGGCTAAAAATGTCCTGATGGACACAGGTCAACCGTGGTTGGGGCTGGGCTGATGCAGAGGCTCATCTCTGCACCATCAGCACACACGAGGACACCTCTGAGCTAATGCCCAGAACGGGAGGGCTTCAGGTGCAGACACCCAGAAAGATCTCCCACTGTGGGGCTTGAGGCCATGGGCCCCTTGGGTCAGAGCCCAATGCCTTCAGTGCCTTCAGGGGTATCTGGAGAGCAGTCCTCTTCAGAACCAGGGAAAGTTGAAGGGAAAGAAGAACACCCACACGGCCCTGTCAGGCAGAGTGATGAGGATGGGGGCTATGGCCTGGGTGCTGACTAAGCCGCTGGGCACTAGGAGACAGCACCGTTGAGGGTAGGGCTGTGTACCCAGCGTGGCCAGGAACAGACGACCCGCAATCACAGATTTCCCACGGCTCCTGCTGCGTACCCGTGATAGGGTCAAGAGCGCAGGTGGTGGCCTGTCCCATACCTGCACGAGCCCAGAGGTGAGAAATGGAGATTGGCATAGCTCATGCAGCCTGGAAGGGCTGCCCCAGCTCTGCTCACACATCCTGATGGTCACAGCTGCCTCTAGGGAGGCAGGACCGGCCCCGGGGTCTGTGGAGGGTGAATGGTCAGGCTCCTGAGGAGGGCCAGCCATGGAGACGTGGGGCAAAAGGCTGGGCTATTGCAAAGGTCCTGGAGTGAGGGTGGCTGGAGCTGAGCTGGGGGAGAGGTGGAAGGGTGACCATGGGCAACAGGGCCTGCATCCACACCTTCCTGTGACTCCTCGACCCTTCCACCTTCCTGGAGGGCCCCACTGACATCTGTTTTATACGTGGGGAAGCCACCCAGGACAGAACAGGTGTCTGGATGGTCTGACTGATGCCCAGGCGTGGGGTCCTCTGAGCTGGGTGCCCTCCTCTGGAATGTTCTCCATAGCCCCTGAGCCAGCCGTGCCCTCACAGTTAGCTAGCTTCCCAGTGCAGGACTGGGGATCGATCACAGGGCTGAAACACAGAGCCCTTGCAGGCAGGCATGGTGTGTGGACAGCACCCCACACGGGAGCCACACAGGGGCAGGTTGTCCTCTTGTGTCCTTAGTGAAAGACCCCAGATGTGGCGGATGCTTATGGGAACAAACCCTCCTCACCCCTCTTGATGTCCAAAGTAGGGTTTGTCCCTAGGAACGGGGATAACTTTGCTAAGATCCACTATTTATTTTATCTATTAAAGAGTCTCTTTTAGGGGCATCTGGGTGGCTCAGTCCATTATGTATCCAAGTCTTGATCTCAGCTCAGGTCTTAATCTCAGGGTCATGAGTTCAAGCCTTGCGTTGGGCTCTGCGCTGGGCATGGAACCTACTTTAAAAAAAAAAAAAAAAGTCTCTTATTTATTAAAATTCAAAGTCAGGTTTAGATTGGTTTCTAGCCCTCCCAGTCACTCACATGTGCACGACACTCTCCTTTCAGATCCTCCCTGGGGTGAAGGTCATTATTGCACACACCGAGACCAAAGGGCCCCTTGGAGACTCACATCTGGGAGAGGTAAGGCGGAGGGACCGGAGCCCCCACGGCCTCAGCAGCTGCCCCTTCCTCTCTCCCTGATCCATCCCAGAGTCGGGAATTCTCAGCAGAGGATTTCGGGTCCTGCAGGATGAAGCCCACTCCAGGGTTGCCCTCCAGCAAAGGGAACCCTTGAGTCCTGTGGGTGGGGGGCCCAAGGAGCCGCAGCAACACTGCTGTCCTCTGAGGGAGGGACTGGGTGCAGGGCAGCGCAGGCCGGGAGGGAGGGTCCTCGACATCCTGAGGGTGCAGGCTTTGCACAAGTGTGTGGGAGCACGTCCAGAGTAACTGTCCCCCGGGGGCCTAGTAGAGGCCCGAGTTGATCTGTCACGATGGGCTTCAGGCTCACGAGGGTGCTGGGGAGCCAGTGCCCTGGCGGATGGGGTTCGGGGCTGTTTGCACAGGGCCTCCCCGGGGTCGCTCAGTGTTGTGACTGGAAGGTGTGCCCGTGCCAGGGCTGGGTGTGGTCAGCATGGGGCCTCCCCTCAGCCGTCCCTCTTGCTGGACAGCTGGACCCACGCCTGTTAGGGGAACAGTTTGCCTCCGAGATGGTCACAGAGGGTCTGCGCCAGGCTGGGAACCCACCTCATCTTTCAGATGCCACCTGTGTCTAGAGCCAGGCGCTCAGTCTGGGGAGCAGACTGTGGGTCCTGGATGGGCCCAGCGTGTGGAAGGATGCCCCAGGGGCCCACAACACCTTTGGTACTGCTAGCATGGTGTGGCCGACAAGGGTGCATGGGTGCGTGTGGACTTAGCGCATCTGCAGGGGAGGTAGTGTCCGTGCCCGCTCTGTCCTGTGAGCCCTCAGCCCCTTCACCTGTCCCTGTGTGGACGTGGGACAAGCTTCCAACTCTTTCTCACTGTCAGTAGTAGTTTGATGTGAACAGTGGGGAGGCAGCTCTGTGAGCTCATCCGCACTGCAGAGTCCTCCCCCCCACCCTCCACCCCTGGCTCCCAGGGTGAAGGAGGGGGTGCTTCGCTCGGAGAGAAAAGTTGCTTGTTTGCTTTCTGTGCCTGAAGTTTAACTTGAGCCATGAGACGAGAGACACTGAAAACAACTCCCTCTCCCCCGCCTTTGTTCAGTGTCTTTGTAAACACCCTCAGCCAGTGGGTGTCTCATGGCAGAACCTGTGCCCAGCGTTTGTGACGTGCCAACATTCTTGTCCCCTGGGCCCCACCAGATCTGGGTGAGCAGCCCCCACAACGCCACCGGCTACTACACGGTCTACGGGGAAGAGGCGCTCCACGCTGACCACTTCAGTGCCCGGCTGAGTTTTGGAGACACACAGACCATTTGGGCGAGGACTGGCTACCTTGGTTTCCTTCGGAGAACGGAGCTCACTGACGCCAGTGGAGGTGAGGGTTACCATTAACCCCCTGCACACAGGCCGTGTGTGCCCTGGGGTCTGTCCATACCGCACAGGAGGTCTGCTGCCGTGGCCCCAGAGTCTGACGTTCATGCCGCGGCAGCTCAGGGACTCCTGCCAACCCCCTCATCCTGTGCTGTGAGCGCGGATCTTCAGGCGTGGGGACAAAGGACGTGCTCTGATAGCAGTTTTCTCTGGAAATCACTGTTTTGCCCTGCGGCTGTCCCTCGCGGGCCTTGGACCCTCGGCTTCTGCTGAGGATGTGGGGGTGTCAGTGATCAGGCCGTCAGGCCCTCCCCTCGCATCAGCCTGAAAGTTGCAGAGTCCCTTAGGCCACAGCAGGCTGACAGATCAAGTCAGAACCCTGGTACCCCTGCAGACGCTGTCTTCTCTCCAGAGACGGTGCGGGCTATTTCGGAACCTGTGTTCACTCACTGACATGACTTTCCTGAGGTGCTCCCAGCTGCACAGGTGCCCTCACAAGGGACTGAGGGGCGGCACCGCCTTCGGGCCTCTGCACGGCTCACTCACAGGGCTTGCTGTCACGTGCTGTTTGGACAGCGAGCCCCCATCCCACAGAGCGCGGCTCTGGGCTGCCGTGGATACACGGAAGGTGCTCAGTGTTCACCGGGTGCCCTTCTGAGGGCTGTGCACCATGTTCACAGAGCGACACGATGCGCTGTACGTGGTCGGATCTCTGGATGAGACGCTGGAGCTGAGAGGCATGCGCTATCACCCCATCGACATCGAGACGTCTGTGGTCCGAGCCCACAGGAGCATCGCCGAGTGGTGAGAGCCAAGTCCCGCCCTGCCCGTCCAGCCTCTCCTCTGGGGCAGAGCCGGGGGCTGCAGGCCCCTGCCTCTGCCCCTGCAGACCCTCTCCACGGGGAGCGTGCTGGTGGGCACCGGCCTCTCCAGCAGCAGACCCCCAGCCTCTCGCAGCCTCTCTCGTTTCCTGACAGTTTTAAACCGAGAGTCTGGTCTCTACAGTTATCCTGAAGTGTTTCTGCTTTTAATGCAAATTTTTAAATTTAAATGTTCGTGACTCACAATTTCTTCACTTTGTAGGGAGCTTGAATCGGGACACATACAACTTTCAACATCAAATAATACTATTGGTTCTTACCAAGGACTTCAGTTAGAAGAAAGAGCCTATAAAACACATTTAGCCTAACCTTTAAATTATGTTAGGCAGTAGTGTGACTTCAACCACTCTGTACTTGGCACGATTTCCCACTTGTCCGTTTGTCCCCAGAAGCCTGTGCCGTCCCGTGTGTGATGCCATCTGTCCTCTCCCTGCAGTGCTGTGTTTACTTGGACCAACCTGCTGGTGGTGGTGGTGGAGCTGGACGGGCTGGAGCAGGATGCACTGGACCTGGTGGCCCTGGTGACGAATGTCGTGCTGGAGGAGCATCACCTGGTCGTGGGTGTGGTGGTCATTGTGGACCCAGGTGTGATCCCCATCAACTCTCGGGGCGAGAAGCAGCGCATGCACCTGCGTGATGGCTTCCTGGCCGACCAGCTGGACCCCATCTATGTCGCCTACAACATGTGAGCGCGGCCCGTCGGCCCCACGTTCCCGAGACAGGCGTGGTCCCGGCTCCCGGTGCGGGAGCCTGTCACAGGGGACTCGCGAAGGCACCACACTGTCTGCAGCCATCAGAAGAAAAGACTCCAGTCTTCACAGAATGCTGTGCACTCTGCTTTTACGGATCCATCCCAAGGATCCCCACATCTCATTTTAGGAACCACTTCCTGACTCTTAGAAGAAATGTTTTCATCTTTGAGGACCTTTGTCAGTACTTGAACAGGCAGGTGCCTGTGAGGGGGCCTGGCGTAGCTGTGGCGAGGGATCGCGAGCGCTCTGCTGTGCTGCGAGTTTGCACTTGTTTTAGGCTAAAAATATAGTTCTTGATTTTAAAAATTCAATTATTTATTCCCACTTCAAATGACAACTTCATGTATAGAATTCATGCCAGAAAGAACTTGAGGCCCCTGGGGAGGAGCAGAGTGATGGAGGGAGGGAGACTTGGTCTGCCCTCCCCCCTCCCAGACCCGAGGTCCTGCTGTGGCCACACGGCACTGCCTTTGCTGGTCTCCTTATTGAAACAGGCGTGCCCAGTTGTCTGCATTTGTTATCACGAGTACTCAGTAAGTGCCATTTGGGGCTGTCAGCTGAGATGCTTTGGGGAAGACAAACCGGCATTTAGTCTGAAACGACCACCCCAGGTTTGTAACTTCATGCTGTGCAGGGACCATACCTGTTGTCCCAAGTCCACAACATGAATTCTTCTCAGTACAAGCACTTGTGTGGAACTGTTATTTTTATTCAACAGACCTGGAGGGCATTGGTGGCAGCATCTGAGGCTTTCAGGTCATCAGTGCTATTTGCTGAGCACCCCGCACGCAGTCTGGGGGCCGTGGACAGACCCCTGCCTGCCCGGCGTTCACAGTTTGAATTGTGTGCCTATAAAACTTGGCCAAACCATATTCAGTTATTTTATTCAAACTTGATGAAACTGACTGATGTAATATAATATAGTAAACCTAAATCAAAAAGAATGTAAAATCCTTTAGATACTTTTAAGAATTTGAAGCAAAGCTTAAATCTTAAGACAGATTATTTTTATATAGCTATTAAAGAGTGTGTTATGAAGTTGTGGGGTTTGGGGGGGATTGAGGGTGGGAAAATTTATGAATTATGCATGCTTCCTAGGAACAACCAGGTTTTTCAGGAATTGGCCTGGAACAGTGCCTAACAAAGCTATTACTAATTCTCTACCATTTTAAATTCACCACCGGATGGGTCTGGCTAACTGGGCGGACTCTCACATCCTACACATATTTGGCTACAAATAGCACGTGCATAGTAGTTCTGTTGCGTGTGGTGTTGAGCCGGGGCTAGTACGGGACAGCATACTGGAATTCTAATAACCCTGTTGTAATTATGTACATAATCTGTGTAATTTATTGTTTGACATACAGAGGTTCTAGCGGCGGACTGATGGACGTTCCTTATAACAGAATGGCCAGCAGGGAAAAACTACCTAACCCTAATCTTAATGTTGTAGTTTTATAGCAAACAAATACTGTAAAATTTTTGTATTGAAAGGTCAGTGGTAGTAAGATAAGGTGTCTTGTAAAGTCAGATTTTAAGAAGCACATTAAAATGTTTTAAAATTACTCTCTGGGAATTCTGTATATCACACTGAAATTTTTTTATATCATGTTAATAAAAGGTATTAACTGTTTGTAATTCTGCGCTTTGAAATGTGTGAAAATGTTTTTTAAATTACCCCAAATAGGATGTATTTTATCATGCATTCTTTTTTCTGAATATAAAAGCATTTATGCTTCTAGCATAAAATCTACAAAGCACATTCAAGTGTAAAGAAGCAAATTAAGATCTCCTATAATCCTACCTCTGACTAATCGCAGCATTAGTGTTTAATAAAAATCATTTCAGGAATTTTTTCTTTTTAAAGATTTTTACAAAATTAGGATCATATGCTTTTATATTAGCTTTTGTACTTAATAAATTACAGACTTTTTAATCTGTTCCACATATTCTTCTACATGTTTTAACAACTGTCTTGCGGGTGTGCCGTGACTGAAGGTCGACTTACTATCGCTGTCCACACCGGCATTGAACACCGCACCTCAGCAGTGCCGAGTCCTCACGCATCTGCGGGACAGGTGCTGCCTCGGGCGCAGGGCCTAGGGCAGAGTGGACAGGTCAGCGTTCCTGCCCGGAGTGAAGCTCTGGTGCCTTCTGCCTTCCGGAAGAGTGGAAAGGCCTCTTCTGGCACCCTGACGGATTCAATTACGTCCTTGCCAGATTGATAGTCAAGTAAGTGTCATGCCTAGTCATGTCAAATAAGTTTTCATGTGTCGTTTTTATTTCTCATTTGTATTCAGATCCAGCAGTTGTTACTGCACTCAAAGGTTTTGGTTGATTTGTAGAAACTATTTTATATTAAGAATTATCACGTCCAGGGGCACCTGGGTGGCTCAGTCAGTTAAGTGTCCAACTTCCACTCAGGTCATGATCTCACAGTTTGTGAGCTGGGGCCCCACATCGAGCTCTACACTGACAGCTCAATTTCAGATTCTGTGTCTCCCTCTCTCTGCCCCTCCTCCGCTCACACTCTGTCTCTCTCAAAAATAAATAAACATTTTTTTTTAAATTAGAAAAAAGGGACACCTGGGCGGCTCAGTCGCTTAAGCTTCGGCTCAGGTCATGATCTCACAGTCCATGGGTTCGAGCCCCATGTCGGGCTTTGTGCTGACAGTTCAGAGCCTGGAGCCTGCTTCAGATTCTGTGTCTCCCTCTCTCTCTCTGCCCCTTGCCCACTCGTGCTCTGTTTCTGTCTCTCAAAATAAAATAAAGACATTAAAAAAAATTTTTTTAAAGAATTATAATGTCTAGGGGCACCTAGGTGGCTCAGTGGGTTAAGTGTCTAACTTCAGCTGCGGTCATGATCTCATGGTTTGTGAATTCAAGCCCTATGTTGGGCTCTGTGCTGACAGTGGGGAGCCTGTTTGGGATTCTCTCTCTCTGCCCTTCCCTGACTCGCGCTTTCTGAAACTGTCTCTCTCTCAAAATAAATAAATAAACTTAAAAATAAATTATAATGTGAGCAAGGGAGGGGCAGAGAGAGAGAGAGAGAGAGGGAGAGAGAGAATCCCAAGCAGGCTCCACAAGTCATCGCAGGACCCAAGCCCACAAACTACAAGATCATGACTGAGCTGAAATCAAGAGTCAGACACCCAACCAACTGAGCCGCCCAGACACCTCTTAATTTAGGTTGTTTTTTAAATGTTCGAATTATTTTATGCAAACTGTAGTTACTTGTGCTTAGTTTCAGATTATGAATAGAGCTGATTTGTTTCAAAGGAAGGTCAGCACCGCCATAACCTCTTCTTCCACCAGCCACCTTGTGGAATGGAGATGCCGCGGAGAGTTCTGGAGCCCCATCCCCCTCGCTCTGCTCGTAAGCTGGTGGTTCCGTGCCAGGAGAGGCAAGTTGACAAGGCCTGAGGGTGCTGCCCTGCCTCCACGGAATGCTGAGTCCGAAGGCAGGCATGTCGCTCAGAAATGCCATTGTTCTGGATGAGGGAGCGTGGGGCAAGCTGAGGGCCAGGTACAAGCTAGCACCCCCGCCCCCTGGTGGGATCTGTGTGATATCCCTCGGACACTCCTGGCCACCCAAGAACAAAGGAAAGGGGTTAAAGTGCTTGCCATGGTGATGTGGGAAACTAAGGCAAATGAAAAATTAAATTCCCTTACTGCCTACGGCCCATTGACACGTCTTTGAAACCGGCAGGGTGACCTCCTCTAGGAGCTCAGCTGTCTTGATGATGACACTTTGCTGGACGCAGAAGGGAATCTTGCCTTCACACTATCCCAACCCCCAGGATCCTGGAAGTCTACCTCCTTTACCTCAGCTGCCCCAGGATACACGCTGGCGCTCCTACTCCAGGCTGCGGCCCCTGATACACATCGGAAGGGTCTCAGGACGGAACACGTGACCTGTTCCTAACAGCTAGCTCCTTGAGGTCCTGGAAACCTTGTTTCCAAAATTCCTTAGAGAATTTTACACTGTAAGTGTAAGGGGCACTTACACTGCCCTTGACCCCGTCCCAACCTAAAGGTATATAATCAGTCACTCCTCACAAGCCCAGCGCAGTTCCTTCTGCCCACGGTCCTGTCCCCCTGCGTTTAAAATAAAATCACCTTTTTGCACCAAAGATGTCTTCCAAGAATTCTTTCTTGGCTGTCAGTTCCGAACCCCACCAGCACCCAGACCCCCTCATCTGGCACCCAAACTGGGGCTTAGAGTCTTTTCATCTGGACTCTGAGCCAGTGCAAACTTGGCAAGTAATTCCTCTTCCTTCCCCTGCTCTCATTTCAGAGGCTTTTCAAGGAGCACGGTCTTACCGGAACACTTTCATGTCAATCGCTCAGGCCACTCGAGCCCGTGGCTGCTCTAAAGAGGAAGAGGAAGCCTGCCTCTTGGCTGGAAGTTAGTACCCCTGCCAGAATGGTAATAAGACCCAGAAACTCGATGTCCTCTCTTCATTCCTGTCCTTCTACAAAACTGTCTCGGGCACAGGACAGCCACCTAAGTCACCAGGACAGCTGCCAATCTTAAGACTCCCGTGTGAGGTTTCCTCCTCATTGGTCTAACGTGATCCCCTCCACATCTCTGGTCTAGCCGCTTCTGGCTGTGGGACCTCCACTGGGACCCCATTAAAACCAGTACTGGATTGAATTAAAACCCAACCAGGGAGCGGCGCCTGGGCAGCTCAGTAGGTTAAGCATCCAACTTCAGCTCAGGTCATGATCTCAGGGCTTGTGGGTTCAAGCCCCACGTCGGGCTCTGTGCTGACAGCTCAGAGCCTGGAGCTGCTTCGGATTCTGTGTCTCCCTCTCTCACTGCGGCACCTCCTCACTAGCACTCAGTCTCTCAAAAATAAACAAAGATAAAAATAAATTTTTAAAAAGATGCAGAGTTCCCACCCTTGAGGCCCCGAGTGGCATTTGCTCCGGCTGAAGCCAGGAGCTGGTTTTCCCTGGAGATGCGAGAGACAGGTCACTCCCCCAGCTGCACGCCTCGCCCCTGCCCGCCTGAGGACCTGCAGCATCTTCTGGGCTGTCAGACACGCACTGCCTGGAGCTGTGGGGGGTCATTAACCACCCATTCCCGGAACTAAACGTCGCCTGAAGGTGAGGGCGGGTCACCCAGAGCTGAGGTCAGAGGAGGACACTGGGCGTTTTACAACCCGGAATGAGCAGTAGTTGGTGCCAGGGAGCCTCCAGGAGCCCTGGAGGTGGCTGTGCAGACATGCTGAGGAGCAGCCTCCCCCTCGGGGTGAAGGAGCACCCCCTGGATGCGGAGGCCACCAGGGACACTCCGCAGCCGCCACGGCAGGCTCGCGGGGGGCCAGTACACGCCAGTTGTTCCTGTCTGGTCTGCAAGCCCGGTGGACATCCAGGAACTGAACCCCCTCTCAAGGTGATCCAAGGGGGCCGGGGCGGGGCCAGCAGGGCCTCACTCAGCCCCTGGCTGACGCAGCAGGGCTGTCGGCCGGTCACGAACACGCACCCCGGGCACGCAGCCCCCTGCCCACTCGCCAGCCTCCTCCCTGTCACCCCCGGCTGAGCCAGACAGCAGCCGTGGACCCTCTGGGCCCCCACCCCGGCCGTCCCGGCACTGACCCCGCGCCCGGACCCGCTGCCCTCACTGGCCTGCAGTGGACCTTCCTCCAGAGCAGCCCCTCCCACCTTCCTCTTCTCTGTGAAGCCACTTCCCTGTGTTCTCTGGACCCGCCTGTGGTTCGCCACACCTTGCACATCCTGAATTCAGTTTCTCTGCCATTTTCTTTTCTTTCCTTTTTTTTCTTTTGAGAGAGCGGGCGAGCGAGCGCGTGTGGGAGAGGGGCAGCGGGAGAGAGACGATCTCAAGCGGGCTCCGTGCCCAGCCCACCACCCTGGGATCACAGCCTGAGCTGAAATCACGAGTTGCTTGCTCCCCCGACCGTGCCCCCGGGCGCCCCACCCTCTGCCATTCTTAAATAAACCCATCTTGCTGGTGATTCTACTCCCTTATTTTCAAGGTCAACATCGGCAAGGCTTTAGGAGGCCGGGATGGTGGGACAAGCAGGTGCCAGTGACCAGGTGGGGAGCAAACGTGCCCGAGCACAAACGACCGTCCCAGAAGCCTGCCTGAGACGGTGCCTGCCCCTCACGGGGGGTCGGAAGTCGGGGGGGGATCGGGCAGTGGGGGGCCCGGCTTCCGTCCGCAGCTCCACCGGCCTGGGCGGCCACTCTCCCAGCCCACGCAGGCGTCCCCTGCCCACGCCCTCCCCGGGCACGTGACCCGCCGGACCAATCACAGCTCGGCTCCCGGTGATTAGCCGCCTAGTCCCGGGGCGGGGGGGGCCCTGACGCCAACGCCGCTGGAAGTTCGCGCCGCAGCCTGAGGCCAGGGGTTGCCCCGCCTGGTGCTGCCCTGCCCCTCAGCTGCCCTCTTCACCCCCACCTCAACCCTCACCCTCTCCGCTACCTCACCACACCCCTCCTCACCACTCCTGCTCCCCCTCTTCCTCACCCCCCTCACCTCTACCTCACCCCCGCCTCACCACACACCTCCTCACCACTCCCACCTTCCCTCTCCTCACCCCCACCTCACTGCACACCATTCCCCTCCTCTGCCTCCTTCTCGCTCCCTCTTACCACCCTCCTCTACCCTGACCCCCCCCCCCCCCCCCACCCTGCCGCACCTGCACCTCCCTCTCACCGCTCCTTTCCAACCCTCTTCCTCACCACACTGCTCCAGGCCCCTCCTCACCCCTCTGCACCCTGCTTCCATTCACACCGCACCCTTGCTCACCCCACACCCATGCAAGTGTCCCTTGCCCTGTGCACCTGCCCTGGCTTTGGGGAGTGCAGCGTCTGCGGTCTTGATGACTTCGCTCCTCTTCCCAGGATTGCAGGTATTTCACTTGTGCTTCCCGTGTAATGGCTACGAGAATCGTTACAGGCCTCTTTTTATTTAATGCAAATACAAGCAGTCAGTTGGCTTAAGAATTTCCAAGTCTGTGCACTTAAAACAAAGCAGCAGAGAAAGGGGAGGATAAGGTTAATTTGAATTTTCCTGGAACCAGGATTGTTAATATTTATGACTCGATCACTTGCGTTCGTCTTTCCACACACACTGACTTTCCCACCAGCCGCGGGCAGACCCCAGCGCGGCCCAGACAGGGGACCCCACCCCAGCAGGCCAGAGACGTCACTTTGGGAACGCACCACTTTAGGACAGAAGGGGGGCCGAGCAAAGAGAGTTACTTGCACAGCACGTCCCCAGAGACGGGGAGCAGAGCCCTGCCCGGGCGGGGGCCGTGCTCCCTCTGCTGCACACGCGTCCTCCCACACCCGGCGAGCTGTGACCCTGTTAGGGGAGCTCCCCGCAATGTGGAATTGTGATCCGCGGCTCCCGCCCCAATTACAATGTCAGGATGTGACGGTTTAGCAGCCACGGTTCCCCTTCAGAGCTGTGAGGACCGAGCATCTCCCCGGAGGCACAGCTCGCCCCAGTGCATCGCCTCACACCACACTGCCTGCCCCAAGGCCTCCTCTGCGCCGGAGAGACACACGTTTAAGGGAGGGATGCAACTTTGTGTGTTGAACTCTAGTGGAGACTGCAGGAAGCCACGAGTGTCCAGAGTCGGTTGTGGTAGCCGGGTTTGTTCTCTCTGGGTTAGGGTTCTCCCCGGCTGCAGCGGCGGGCAGAGCACATGCTCCGTGACTCGGTTGTGACCGAGTCCCTGGGGCCAGTCGGCTAGCACGTGTGCCTAACAGAGCAGGAGTGGGGAGGGGGGCCCACTGGAAAACAGCCCTTGGAAAGAGGTTTTCAATTTTTCATTGACAAAGCGAATCAAGCTTCCTAATAAGCTACAACACGGCCAGAAAGCTCAGCTCCTACTAGCCTGCACGCCCTTGCCCTCTGCTTCCTTGTGTGACCTTCATCTCTGTCGCGGGACAGCTTGGCTGCTTGCTCCGTTTCACTCGTGTTCAAAGAACTCGTGGCAGGCGGTGGTCACCATGGCGACGAAGGCCATAAATTCCTGGAAATCACATTCGCCGTCTCCGTCACTGTCCAGAGTTTCCATGACTTTGTCCACAACCTCCTGCTCTTTGATTTCCTAGGAGATAGAAGAGAAATTGCCCATCTTGTTTTTGAATGAAATTTAGAGTCATCAAGACATGATTAATAGGTTGGGGCTCGCCTTAATAATTTGTATCAGAAGCAACTTAAGATGTAAAATGCAAAATACGAGAAAGGTTTTTCCTGTGAGCAGCGGACTCTCGGCTGGGCAGAAGTCTCAGGGGGCCCGGGCCTTCCCTTCCACCTTACTTTAGGTCTGGTGGGCCCCGAGCTACTTTTTTTTTTTTTTAATGTTTTATTTATTTCTAGGAGAGAGAGACAGCGTGAGCAGGGGAGGGTCAGAGAGAGAGGGAGACACAGACTCTGAAATAGGCTCCAGGCTCTGAGCTGGCAGTCAGCACAGAGCCCGACGCGGGGCTCGAACCCACGAATCTTGAGATCTTGACCTAAGCGAAAGTCAGACGCTTAACCGACAAAGCCACCCAGGCGCCCCTCTGAGCTACTTGAAAAGACTAAATGGAGCAACAGGTTCTGAAAAACTGCAGCTTGCACTCCGCTATGCTTAGAACACGCCTGGGAAAAAGGAATGGATTCTAAATAAGCCTGAGCATATTATAGCAAACGTCTTAGAAGAAAAAATTCGCTTCTGGCTCCCCCCAAGGTTTTCACTGTTTCTGCGTATAGAAGTCCTTACGGTGAAGGCTTCCAGTGGGATCTCATGTTTTGAAAGGGTTTGTTTGTTTTGGGATTTTTTTTTTTCTGCAATGACTCTAGCAACATGTCCGGAATTTTTAACTGCCTGTGTTCTTTTTGCCCCTTGAGTTGCTTTCTGGCATCATGGGACTTTCCTGATGGCTCTGCTGCCCAGCCCTGAAACCCAGTCAGTGGTGTTAACAAGTGTCAGAGGAGCCAACACAGCGCAGGGCTACACACGTGGGAAGAGCGTAAATGTGGCCGGTTCTGAATGGCCGGTCCCCAGGGCGGGAGAGCCTGGCCTGTGATGTGCAGTAGCTGGCTCCGTACGCGGCGTGACGGGCTGATTCCAGTGCAGTTGGGCAGGACCTGGAAACATCTGGAGAGCAGCGCACTCTTTCAGTCACTTTATAGATTTGCCTCCAGTCTGGAATTACTCTGACAAAACTAGGCCAACAAATGCTTATGACATCTTGATATGCTTGCCATGAATTCTTGATATTTTATAAATTGCGGATGGGGCACCTGGGTGGCTCAGTCGGTTAAGCGTCCAACTTCGGCTCAGATCATGATCTCATGGTTCGTGGGTTCGAGCCCCGCATCGGGCTCTGTGCTGACAGCTCAGAGCCTGGAGCTGCTTCGGATTCTGTGTCTCCCTCTCTCTCTGACCCTCCCCTGCTCATGCTCTGTCTCCCTCTCAGAAATAAATAAAAAAGCGTTAAAAATTTTTTTAAATTGCGGTTCCCCCATGCTAAGTTTCTCTGGTTTTAAAATCAATAATTAATAATTATTGATAAGTACTGTCACCGTATGTTCAGTACTTGACCAACACTATCTCATTTCATCCTTAGAACAATCCTTGTTACAGAAGAAACTGGGACTTTTGATTGTTAGAGGTGGAATTAGCGGGATAACAATGTGCAGGTGGGCAGCTGCCACTTGAACTTGAATGCCTGAGAAAATCAGTCCTGGAATTGGCCCCAGAGATGCTCCCTACCCCTAAGCCCACGGGCGCCTCCTCTGATCCGGTGGTGCCATTCACAGTGATGGAGAGTTGGGTTGGGGTGTGGACAGGAGATCCCGCCAGCCTTGCTGTGGGACCCTGGGGCCCTTCATGCACTGAGAGGCTCTGCTGGCTCCGGAGGGGTGGGGGGACTCCCTGTCTCTGTGGGGCCGGGCCAGACCCTCGTGTTCTGGCATCTTTCCCGGAATTAGCTCTTGGTCAGGCCTTAGTGCCCTGGTTCATTGGCCATTTCCTGTGTGCATGATTGGTCACCTTCAGTGAACTTGGTTCTGGGCACTAAAGGAACGTCAGGTGCCAGGTGGATTGCAGTTCATTGCCTCGAGGGCATGAGACTGGTATGCAGTGGAGACAATGGGTGGCTGATCCGAGGGCAGTGGAGATTGTGGGCAAGGAAGTGAGTCCAGGATACGTATCTGGACCTACTTCCACCACCGGTTTCTCAAGACCCCTCGAGCAGCTTCCTAAATTAGGGTCTCTTACTCCATGGGTCCCCCTGAAAAGCCCTACACCCTCAAAAGGCACAGGGCCCTTTTCATGCCCTCAGTCAAGTAGGCTGTGACCATTCATTGATGTGCCAGGCTGGGTGCCCCAGATGCAGAGGCCATGCCTTTGGGCTTGCATCTCTCCCAGTGGTGAACATAGTATTTTCTCAGTCAGTGTCTGCTGAGTGAATGGCATCTTTTACCCCTGGTGGGTGCTAACCATGCAGCTAAAGCAAAAACAGTACTTTCCCCAAATCAGGAGCCTATCTTCAACACCTTTCTTGTATGTTCATTGTGGTCTGTGATAAGTCATGAGTACATTTTTCATCCCATTCTACTATGGTTATTGCCTTAAATTCTTAGATTTTTCAGAGATGAGTCAGCATTATTTGGAACCCGTGCTTTTGCCTTTGAGAAAGCAGTTTTTCCTCGCTGTTCCTACTGTACACAAAGCAGATGAAAATGAAAACAGCGGGGCCATCTAGGCTAGCCTCTAGTGAGGGTTCCATTGCACAAACATGTTTCCAGAAGCAACCTAGGAGTCCTGAAATGTAACTGGAATCACCTTCAGGGAAGCTCAGAAGAAGAAATGTACAGGTGGTTTTCTAAGTGGAGACGAAAATGGATAAACTGTCAATTTTAAAAAGCAAGACTCACCTCTAAAAAATGGGAAAGCTCATTGTTGATGAGCTCCTTGAGTTCGGATTTCTTCAGCTTGTGCTTGTCACCCTCCCTTCCAGAATATTGATGGAAAACATCAATGAGGGCCACCATGGCCTTCTCCAGCTCAGACATCCTAGGGGTCCACAAAGGAAAGATTCCTTCTCATGCTTTTGGTCTCATTTGCACACAGAACAGTTAGCGTGTTTGCTCTACAGACCTCCACCCAGAGGAGGGGTTGGACTGGCGTTGGCTCATCTCCCCTGCAGGCTGAGAGCTGTTGTCCCTGCTGTCCCCTCTGCCTCTTAGATCCATTCCTTCCCTCTGCTCCCTTCTCTGTCCCTGTGGCTGCATTCAGAAGTTCCCATGCCCTCTGGCTTCTGGTTGGGTTTGGCCAATGGGAAACTTCAGCAAAAAGACTGAAGCACAGGAGTGAGGGAGTCTGGGGGTCGATTCCTGCTTCCTCCCCAGCGGGCCACCCTCTGCCCTTGCAGGGCTCCAAGATGAAGTGACACAGTACAGGGGAGCAGCACACTGACTGCAAACTGGTAGAATTATGTAGAAGGGAGTAAGGTGGCCAGTAGCAAAGTGAGGCAACAAAAAACCAATAGTATTTCTGGATTCTACCAATAAACAATTAGAAAACATAGTACAGAAACCCTATTCATAAATTGATAAAGCAACATACACATATTATTTGAGAATAAGTTTAGCAAGAAAAGTACAGTTTCTTCCAAAAGATTCTAAAGACTATAAAATGCAGGAACTCACTCTTTGTAATAATATATAAAATTAACTCATTTTAAATAAAAATCTTTAAGGTTTTTTTTTTTTTTTTTGATGGTTAAGGAACATGACCAAAAAAACAACTGCAAGACTGAACTGGAAAAACAAGCACAGCAGCGTTGCCACAAATGGTTTTGAAAACGAAGATCAATGAGAGATTGGGGCACCTGGATGGCTTAGTCGGTTAAGCGTCCGACTTTCGCTTGGGTCATGATCTTGTGGTTCGTGGGTTCGAGCCCCGCGTCGGGCTCTGTGCTGACTGCCAGCTCAGAGCCTGGAGCCTGTTTCAGTCTGTGACTCCCTCTCTCTCTGGCCCTCCCCTGCTCACGTTGTCTCTCTCTCTCTCTCCTAGAAATAAATAAAAATATTTAAAAAAAAAAAAAAAAAAAAAAGAGATGCACGAGGACCTGCCAGAAACAAAACTGTGTTATGAGGGCATCAAGGGTGAGGCTGGCGCTGACGCAGGGAGGCACGGACGCAGCAGGAGGCTGAGTCACAGCCCGCACTTGGTGTCTCAGAGACGCTGCCTCAAGGGCAATGTCGCTTTCTCACTAGTCTGCCCGCCAGTGCCCGGAGCTGCTGTTTCTCTATGGGTATCAGAATATGAAACTTCCTACTTCTCTCACCTCATGTACCTCAGACCTTGGCCTGAAAACAGGAAATACCTGTTTAATCCTGGGAATTTGGTATATTTTGCAAAAGACGACTTGTCAATTGTTTCAAAAACTGAGACACTCAGCCGGAGAAATTTACCAACCTATATGGCCTTGAGTTCCAACCAGTACAGAATCTTTGCACTGTGACAGTTCAAAACAGATCCAAGAATTACATCTAATTGTGGAAAAATCATTCCCGTGTTAGACATGTCACTTATATCTAAAAAATAAACTGGAAGAAATATTTAAACTTTTATTTATTTCTGATTTTGCAAAGAGAAAGGAGTGAGGATTTTTGTCTTGACCTCATCTTTGCTAAAGTCACCCTATTAATAATCAGTATCCTTTGTTTTGCTCTACAGTCCCTAAAAGTCAGAGCTTTCACACATAGAACAATTCAGATGGATTAAAATCTTTAACATTTCATTCTTTCTTATCCTTTGCACTCACGTTTTCAATTATTGATTTTGTTGTTTGGAAACAAAACAAGAAATCCAAGAAACTTTTGCATCATTCTGATGTTTTGCAAAGTCTGTGATACTTCAGGGAAGGAGAGGCTAAATTATTTTTTCATAAAGTATGACTAGTGGGATTTTTTTTAAGTTTATTTATTTGTTTTGAGAGAGAGAATGCAACCAGGGGAGGGGCAGAGAGAGAATTCCAAGCAGCCTCTGCACTGTCACCTTGGAGCCTAGGGTGGGGCTCACACTCACAAACTGTTAGATCACAACCTGAGCTGAAGTTGGACATTCAACCAACTCAGCCACCCAGGCGCCCCTAGTGGGATTTTTTTGAAGGAAAGGCACAAAACATATATTCCATGTGTTTGAAAACTCCATATATTGTGATTTTCTTCATAACCACACTAAAATTGATTATTTTTTTTCTTTTAAATTCTTCCCTTTGCTAAGAAACAATGGATGGTTTAAAGTTTATCTTTTAAGAGAAATGGAAATCAAATATCCATATTTCCTTTCCACTTAGTTCTGTGAATGTTATTCTTGCATTAATTTGCCTCTTATTCCTGCATAATCTTTTTATGTGGAAAGCAAGAGAGCTTGGGGCTTTAACTCCTTCTGGAAGGACATATCACACAGGATGTGGTGAGGGGCTCCCCCCCCACACACAAACACCCTCCCGCCCTCGCTAGGGAAGCCGTCCTACCTCCTTGAGAAATCCTAAAACTGAAGAAAGTTAAACCCACCAAAACTCCAGTTTCTTTGACCCAGATTATAATTTCCTTGTAAATACCTCCCAATTGTCATGTAATTTCTGGGTGATGTCCAGGGGGACCCTGACATTTCCTGTTGACGGAAAACTGAGAAACAGTTCCATACCCAGGGCTAGGACCCAAGCACGGGAAGAGAAAACATTGGTTTTTGAGGTAGGCTTGCCAGTCATGCTCAGCTGGGGGGAAGCAGAAACCTGCTCTCTGAAGAGTTAGGGAAGAAGCCAGGTTTGTTAGTACCTCTGTGGAAATGTCAGCAGCCACCCCGGAGCCACTGGCCCTGAGGGTCTCTGCTTTGCGGTGTCAAGTTCAGGCAGAGAGAACCTCTAGGTGCCTGGAGTTGAAGCTGTCATGTCCACAAAATGGTAAGAAGATAGGGGAAGGGAAAATAAGGTAAAAACAGAGAGATAGGCAAACCATAAGAGACTCTGAAATACAGAGAGCAAACAGGGTTAATGGGGGTGGGGGTGGGTTAAATGGGGGCTGGGCATTAAGGAGAGCACTTTTAGAGATGAGCACAGGGTGTCATATGTCAGAGATAAGTCACTGGGTTCTGCTCCTGAAACCAAGACCACACTGGATGGTAACTAACTTGAATTTAAATTTTAAAAGAAAGAAAGCTCCCCACTTATGAAATGCTGCCAGTTATCCTAAAAGGGCTTTTCAACCTACACTTAGTTCCCAGCGGCCCCCCCCCCCCGTTCCCTGTCCCCCAAGAGAGCAGATTCTCCCTGAGTGTCCTCACGTCAGTGGCTCCTGGTGGCCGCTCCTGTCACCTCCTGGCTGTGGCGTCCAGAGTGGCAGGAGTGGTTGCGGGGCGCCTCTTATTCCTTCCCCGCAGTGGGGCGCGGCGCTGCAGGCTCGGGCGGCCAATGGGGGCGGCGGGTGGGGGTGGGGGCAGCCGGTTGCCAGGCCTGCACACAGGGCCCCTTTGACGGGCAGCCACCCGGGGACTCGCTGGGGAGCCGGGACTGCACTTGGGCCAAGGAAGAAAAAGGCTCTTGGGGCAGGAAGTAGGGAGTCAGCTTTTTGTGCTATTTTTTAATTTATACATGAATATTGATGTTCCTCTAAAGGCAAGGTTGGGGGTGGGGCGAGAAGCGAGACCGAGTAATTGATTCAGACCAAGCAAATGCGCAGCCAAGACCGCGGTGGTTCCAAGGACAGGCTGAGCACAAGGACGAAGGACGCACGGGCGCTTTCCAGCGGAGAGGCCCCTTCACCGCCTGCTGCCTCCCAGCCTCCCCCACCTCCCCTCCCCCACTCTCCCCCCCCACCCCCCACCCCCTCCGCCCGAGGGCCGCCGCCTGTGCTGAGCCGCGCTGTCTCCCTGCTTCTGGATGGACTGAAGCACGATGACAAAGCAGATACCTGATGCTTTGTGGGGAAAATCCTCATTTAATGTGATGGAGGACACCTGCCAGGTGCACCCCAAGGCCTCCTCCCTCAGCCTGGGGGCCATCACAGACTGTCAGCCTCTGTCTTACAGAGAAGCGCCTCTGGTGCAGCCCAGACCCCCCACCGTCTTCAGCTGTACCCTTCCTGACTTGTTTCCAAGTGGCAACCAAAAAGGCACCCCTTTAGCCAAAGTATACAGAAAGCAGTGGCCTCAAACTCCTCAAAGGACATCTGAACCAGAATCGGGGCCCCTCTGCTGATCAGGCTCACAGTGGCCACGTTCGAAGGATCAGGACGCGAGATGTCCATGGACACAGCTGTTGTTATCTGTTTTACCAGGAAATTGTTGACTATTCAACGCCTGGAAGTATGGTCCAAAAACAGCACTGGGCTGTGAGCCTTGGGGCTTGAGTTGTCCCATTCTGGACCCCAGCCTGCGCCCACACCTCCATGAGGTAGGATCTGAGAGGTATGGTTGGGTCCTGTGTCCTCAACTGCCCCACGGTCTGATGCCTGGCGAAGGGAAACATGCGTGTGCACTCTGCAAAGCAGGGACTTGCCCGAGTCCGAGGAAGGAGCGACTGCCCCTGGGTGGTGTGGGCCAGGCACTAGGGATGGGTTAACCCTGTGTTCACCCTTCAGTGTCCACAGAACAGCTTCAGCCTACTCCTGCAGAGAAACAAGGAGTCTGGAATCTATTCATCCAATTACTGGATGCCTGAGCATGAGGCCTGCCCTCTGGGTACACACAGCACAGCCTCCTGGGACAGGCAGGTGGGTCACGTGTCCACCGTGTTTCAGGCTCTGTGGGAGCAGAGATGGGGGAGAGGGATGCCAGGGCTCACAGGCTGGGAGACGATCCACCATCTGGATGAGAGAGGCTGTCAAGTGCTATGGGAGCCCCAGGCGGCATCCTCCACTCGCCCGCAGGAGCGCACAGACACAGGACTTCACAAGAACACGGGAGGGCGCCTGTGACCTCACCAGCTGTCAGCACCACCTCTCATGGGGGAGCTACTTCGGGCAAATTAAAACCATCCTGGGAGAGGGATGTTCATGGCCCTCGTCCACAAGGTTGTCTGGGGCCCACAGTTCCTTGTTGGCCTTCGCACTTCCAGGTGACCCTGGCCCCCTCTCTCGATTCCCCAGCTTGGGGTCTCATGTCATCAGACTGGAGCCCTGGTCTAGTCACCTGTGACCTGCACATCCAGTCCCTACCCCCAGTTGCATTCCACAGGAGAGCACTGCACTAAAGCACTGAGAACTATGTTCTTGAGTAGAACATGTAGGAAACTCTTCATAGCCTACAAAGAACCATGTGAGATGGTGCCTTTGGAGCAGGCTCCCTGCATTTCAGTGGGGTGATGGGATTTCACCATAGCAGAGGGACATACCAGCAATCAGAATACCTTGGTCCATGGCAATCTTTGGCAGTGGTTGTCTGATTACAGTGTCCCTAGGAATGAGATAGATGGACAGCCCACTCAAACAGTCCTTAACCCACACGGCAGGAAAAACTCCAGGTCTGGTAACCAAAACCTGACTTGAATCACCGCTGTGGAGAATCACAGTCTCTCTCCCAAGTTTGCAAACTTAAGCTCGGTTGGCCCCCAGTCTCTTGACTGAAGGTGAGGCCAGGTTCCCGTGAGATAGGGCCCTGTACTACCACCAGTACATGTCAGGAACCTTCGTATATACCTTCCCCCAGGGGACTGCAACTACTTGCTAATGTGACCACATAGTGGAAACATTTAGATCTGAAAGGAAACACTTAGATCTCTCCATGGATTATTAGATATGGGCTCTGAGTTGATGCTAATTCCTGAGGCAACAAAATGGCACCATGGTCACTAGTCCAAGTAGGAACTTGTCATGGTCAGTGGGTCTTAACTAGACCAGCTCACAGTGGGCCCAGGGGGTGCAGAGGTTCCCCCGAAGGTATAATCAAAACAGACATAGTTGGCCACTGGCAGAATCTCCTCCCTGGCTCTCTTACATACCAGCTGAGGACCAGTATGACAGGCAAAGCTAGGGGAACATTCCTAGAACTTCCCCCTTCTTATCATGACAGTAAACTGAGAAATACTGCACCCCTGGGAGAGCTTCAGAGATGAACGCCACTGTCAAAGAGTTGACCTAAGCAGGAGTGGTGAGACTTACCACACACCCATCTCACTTGCCAGGTTGGCCTGTGCAGACGGCATGTGCTTTGTGGAGAATGGGGACTATCGCAAATGCTGTCAGCTGGTGACCTCAGTTGCTGTGCCAGATGCGGCTTCTCTTCTGGAGAAGGTCATCACAGGCCCTGGCACTGGGCGTCGGCTACTGATCTGACTGGTGCCTTTTTCTCAAAATCAATTGTTTAGACCCACCAGAAATAGTTTGCTTTTACCTGGCAGGGCCGAAGGCAAACCCTCACGACGTTGCCTCAGGGATATATCCGCTCTCCTGCCAGAATATCATCTGCCGAGACCTTGACCGTCGTGGCGGCTCACAGGGCAGCACGCTGGTCCACTCTGCTGATGACAGTGCGCTGACTGGGTCTGATGCCTTCCTAAGATGTCTGCAAACCGACAAGTCCCCCAAAACTTCAGGGGCCACCACCTCAGTGAAGTTCCAGGCGTGGAGCATGCTGAAGCATCCCCTGACACCACCTGCCAGGAAAAGAAGCACAGCATTTGGTTGAGGTTTGTGGGATTTAGACATGACATACATGGATGTGCCACTTCCATCCATGAGGCTGGCCTTTCTGGTGGGGACCAGAGCCAGTGTAGGCTACAGGCCAAGCTGCTTTACCACTGGTTCCTAGGATCCTGCAGATCTGATGATATTTGAAGTGTCTCTGGCACATGGGGTGCAGTATGGACTGACTGTCTGACAAGCGCTGATAGGACTCCAGCTCAGGTCTCTAGGATTTTGAAGCAAGTCTGTGTCTTCTGCAGCTTGTCTTTGGCAGCTAATTATTCTCATTTTGAGAACAGCTTCTCAGGGCATCTGTATGGTTCAGTCACTTAAGCATCTGACTTCAGCTCGGGTCACGATCTAGCAGTTTGTGGGTTCAAACCCCACATCTGGCTCTGTGTTGACAGCTCAGAGCCTGGAGAGCTCTGAATGCTTCATATCTGTGTCTCCCTCTCTCTGCCCCTCCCCCGCTTGCAGTCTGACACACTCTCTCTCAAAAATAAATAAACATTAAAAAAAGAGAGAGAACAGCTTCTGGTTTGCTGTTGGGCCTCAGCGGAGACCAAACACCTAACCCTGGGACATCAGGAAACCATGCAGCTCGTATTGTCTGATCCACCTCCCCGTAAGTTTGAGTGTGTGTAACAGCAACATATTATCAGATGGAAACGTCTAGGAAGCATGAACAGGTGGCTCTGACTCCTTGGACACCAACTCCTGTTGCATTGCCTCACTTTTCTCCATCCATGTCTGTGACCCCTCTGGTATTTCTTTCAGGGTTTTTTTTAAAGTTTATTTATTTATTTTGAGAGTATCAGAGAAAGAATGAGTATGGGAGAGAGAGGGAGAATCCCAAGCAGGCTCTTCATTATCAGTGCAGAGCCCGATGTGGGGCTTGAACTCGTGAAACTGTGAGATGACCTGAACTGAAATCAAGAGTAGGACACTTGACCAACTGAGCACCCCGCCCCAGGTGCCCCTCCTGGGATGTTTCTTACAAGCTGTTGACTATGGAAGAAGACACATGAGCTGGCTTACCGGTGGGTGTGCGTGCTATGCTGGCACCACCTAAAGTGGACAGATACAGCGCGGCGCCCCGCTCAAGGGTCCCCCTGAAGGACAGTGGTGATGGAAATCCTCTCATGGGCAGAACTTTGAGCGGTGCATGTGGTTGTCCACTATGTCTGGAGTGAGCGGTGGCCAGAGTGTGGATCTGTATTCATTCAGGGGCAGTTGCTAGTGATACGGTTGGTCAACAACTTGGAAGGAACCGGATTGGAAAATTGGTGACAGGAAAGCCCTGGAGGAAGCACGTGGATGGACCTTCGTCAAGGAGCAGTCTGTGAATACATTTGTGTTCTGAGCAAATGCCTGCCAATGGTGGGCACTGCAGAAGGTGCTCCTGATAATCAGAAGGAAAATGATCAGCCTATGCGTGTCAGCCAGCCCTCACCACAGCCACTCCAGGGCTTGCTCAGAGTGCCCTTGAACAAAGTGGCCATGTGGCAGGGATTGAGGCGTGCGTGTGCTCAACAACATGGACTTCCCCTCAACAAAGCTGCCCTGGCTCCTGCTGCCCTAAGTGTCTGACATGCCAACAGTGAGCCCTGCGGTGACCAGCCAGATGCCTGGTCATTGATTACATTGGGCCTCTTCCATCACAGAAGGGGCAGAGGTCTGTCCTTGCTAGAATAGGTATATATTCCGGGTATAGATTTGACTTCCCTCTACTGTATTGTTTCTGCCAG